TGCAGAAGCCTCCCGTATCATACTAGCAGCCCATAAACCAGCTACACAGAGGTCATACACCTATAAGTGGTCTCTCTTTAAGGCTTACTCTCAGTCAGCTGGCCATGACCCGATCCAAGCCCCTACCCCTGTCATTCTCGACTTCCTAGTCCGACTCTCCAACAAAGGTTTTTCCCTCTCCTCTGTTAAGTGTTATCTAGCTGCTCTTTCCCACTTTAGGAGGAAAGCAGGGTTGCCGTCCCTTTTTCAGGATCACTTGATCCAGTTGTTTCTCAAAGGTTATAAAAATGTTCATCCCCCTATATCTCCACCTTCTCCGCCATGGAGTTTAGAATTAGTTTTGTCACAACTTTCGAAACCCCCTTTTGAACCTATGGCATCGTGCCATATATCTCACCTATCATGGAAAACGCTATTCCTTGTAGCCATCACCTCTGCTAGGAGGTCCAGTGAGCTAGCAGCTCTCCGCGCAGACCCACCTTATATTCGCTTCCATGACGATAAGGTCGTTCTCCGCACTGATGTCACTTTCCTCCCTAAGGTAGTCTCCCGTTTTCATATGTCTCAGGACATTGTTTTGCCCTCCTTTTTTCCTAATCCATCCTCTCCACTTGAATTGGCACTACACTCGTTGGACGTGAAACGAGCCCTGTCCTTTTACATTCATAGGACAGCTAATTACAGAAAATCCCCTAAGCTCTTTTTAAAATATAGAGAAGACGTTCTGGGCCTCCCTATATCATCCCAAGGCCTTGCCTCCTGGATTGTTTCTACGATCCGTCTGGCTTACCAGTTGGCGGGCAAAGAGCTTCCTTCCCATGTCTGGGCTCACTCGACCCGCTCAGTGTCAACCTCACAAGCCTTTCTTCGAGGAGTTCCTCTTGACCAGATTTGCAAAGCAGCGACGTGGGCCAATCCTTCCACGTTTGCCTCTCACTACAAGTTGGACATCCTAGCCAAAAAGGACGCCGCTTTTGGCAGAGCTGTGCTTTTCTCCTGTGTGGCATGACCCTCCTCCAAGGTCAGTTAACTTGCTATTCACCCATAGGTGCTTATTTCACAGACGACACGAAGAATAAATATAGGTTGCTTACCTGTAACCGTATTTCTTCGAGTGTACGTCTGTGAAATTAGCACAACCCGCCCGTCCTCCCCGCTAGTCATGCCTCTACCTGGTTCCTCTTTTGGCGCTAGGAAACTGGCAAGAAGCCACGCCTGCTGGCTATATACGGAGCGGGGGGGGGGAGGGGGAGCGATGGGCGGGCCTTCTTCTCTTTCTATAAAAAGACTTTTTTAACTAGTATATTTCCGAAATGCTGCGCATGCGCGATGTAGAACCCATAGGTGCTAATTTCACAGACGTACACTCGAAGAAATACGGTTACAGGTAAGCAACCTATATTTACAGGCTCAAGGTATGTGCCAGCAATTCAATAGGTTAAGTGGATGGAGAAAGCATTTACAATTATTTGCATCTTCACATGTTCGCATCTTAATTTAAAAAAAGAAAAACCACCACATTTTCCTGTGGAAGTCTTGCGGTGACAACGACAGAGGCAGAAATACCGGGACCAACAGATCTGTATCTAGAGATCTTCTCAGGTCCCAGCGTTTTTTTTTTGTTGTTTTTTTTTGCCCCTGAGTAAAGTGCACGATCTGGTGCTGTCTGGAACAGCCCTCAGTCAACATAATGCAACTGAACTACAACTTTTACTCTGGGTGGAATCAAAACATCTTCTCCATGGTTTATTTCCAAAGCATGGGCAGAACCATAAGACCTTGCCCAACATGCTCCTTCTGATCTCACACTGAATTCAAAGGAAGAACCTGGGAAGGGTTTTTCTGGGAGCTGTGTAGATACTGATGTGGTAATTGAGGGAAAATATGGAAAATTTCTGCTGTGTGTGTTTCTGAGGAACCACAACTACTTCTGCACTTTGGTTAGGTCTCTGGTGTAGTGCTCCTGCCTCCCATTGTCTTCCCTGATACGGCTTCCTTCTAAACACAGTTTGATGCAAAATTTGGCCCAGTGCTTCAAAAACTAACTCTTTTGAAATTCATAGTCAGCATGTCTGATTAAATAGATAAAGCTAATAAAATCCTGGCAATTGTAGTACAAAGATTAACTTTTCAAAGCTCTTGTATCACCCAGAGAAACTGCTTTTATTGTGTGTGTCTTGGTAATCATGACAACCTAATTTGCCAGGAGGGAATTATGAAAAAGTAACATTCTTTCAGCCTAAAAGGAAGTCAAGGACAAACCTCCTCTCAATGAATTTTGCTAAGAAAACTCCAAAGATAAGTTCAGTATGAATCAGAGTCAGTTTGAAGACACAAAGCAAAATTCCATGACCTGTACAGGTTGGAATAGCAAGAGAAATGATTTGGTTCTTAACCAAGCTTAACACACTGGCCAAAGCATTTTGTCACTACCTGAACTTAAGCTCAGGATAATTAGATCTCAAGTTCTTATCTCTGGTCTGAAGCCTTTGTGTGTGCTTTTGCTTCATGAGATAACATCTTAGGCAAAAAGAGGGAAGACCACTGTTTCCCCGAATGGCAGCTCTGCTGAACCTGATGATGAATCGGAATCTAACATATAATTAGCCCATGGCTTCATCCCAAGACTTTTGAAACACTGCCACAGTGACTCTGATTCATAGGTCAGTATATCAACCACTGGACTATAATAGGCCTAGTCATGAACAAAGAAAACAACACGTGATCTTGTAAAGCAGCAAAAATACAAGATGAACATTTAACGGTGTAAGCGCTCTTTAGCCTAACTTAAAGGAAGAAGATGTAGTGGTGCTAGCTTGAAATATTGGTATTCAAAGGGATCTTGTGGCACTTTTGAGACTGAGAGAAAAACGTAACATGAGCTCTCATAGATTTAGTCTACTTGTTGAAATGCATGTGAACTGGTGCCTAGGAACGTGCCTTTCTGAGTAGACTATATGAATAGCCATAGAAATGCAAAACTTGTGGGTATGCTGATGGGGTGACAAGCTCAGTTTTAATTCTGGTTATTGGAGGACAAAGACACGAGTGGAGATGTTGACTAAAGCCAAGATGAGTAGATAACCCTATGAATGGTGGAGAATTATTGGAATGCAGTGTATTTCTGGCTGGTAACCAGAAAGAAGATTTAATAAACCAGCCAAGAGAGCCCTCGTGAGGCTTAGGTGTCAATAGGAGTTATAATATATGTAGTGTGCCAGGAAATCATTGTCTCTGTTCAACCCATTGTTGATGGACTAGAATTTGTGGATATATTCCAGTTCAGCTGTTCCTCTTTCTTTTGTAGTTATTTTGTTCAATGACAGCTGTTTTAAGCACAGAGACAGAATGCCCAAGAAAGTTGATGTGTTCTGCAACTGGTTTTATGTACTCCTGTTCCTATTGTCTGTTTTATGCCCATTTATCCTCTGGTGCAGAGACTGGCCTATTTACCCATTGTAGAGTTCTGAAGGGTATTATTGACAGAGAATGGCATATATCACATTTGAGGATGAGTAAGGGAAAGCAGCTCCAGTATTATAGATGATATGATTAGGCCCTATGACATTTCCCAAGTAGATTTGTGGGCAGAGTTGGCATCTGGTTTTGTGGCAAGGTTTTGCATCTGCCCCCCGCCGCCCCAAATCCATATTGTGTGTCCTCCTGTAGTTCAATAACTTTTTGAGATTGGGAAATTGTCTGTAGTCGAGCAAAAGCCTGTCTCCAAAAGCCGAAGGAATAAGAGAGGTACGTGGGAACCTAAAAGCATAAAGAAACCTGGGAAGCGAAAGTCTCTTAGTCAAAAAGCCTGAGCCGTTCTACTGACTACTAACAATGGCAAGTAGAAGTAGTAGATTGGCTCCTGCATTTTTGAAGAGATGCAAGTTCACTATCCCAATGAAAACTTGGCACAGTGTTCCTTGGAACATTCCAAGTGCAATCAGGATTTATATGCTTGAATGCTCCCCCCATACGTAACAGTAACAACATTTCTCATATGTAATACATCAGCATCTTAGTAAACATTCTTGACACATTTTCAACTTCTGGAAATTCATTTGTGTGTGTGCTTTAAATGGGACAGTGTTCAAATCCACCTTTCCCTCATTCTAAAGTGGTGCAGTCTGAACATATCATCTGCTTTTCTTGCATATGTAGATCTGCTCAGATGAATCAGAAATTATCTTAGATCATTATTACCAATCACTTATGTGTGCCTAGACAAGACCCCCTCTTATATTGAGAACTGCTCTTATGCCTAAATTGGAATGTATTTTGAGTTCAAATTTAGAAATGATATTAAACAGGATCTCCTCCTATGAACTATCACTGAGATTAAGATCGTCTGGGGAGGCCCTGTTCTCAGTCCCGCTTCTGTCGCAGGCACATCTGGTGGGAACGAGTGACTTCTTAGTGGTGGCCCCTTGGCTGTGGAGGTCCCTCCTCAGTGATATTAAAGCAGCTCCCTCCCTCCTGACCTTCAGAAAGAAAGTGAAAACCTAGATCTAGGCTCAAGCCTTTGAAGATTAATCTATAGCGCAATAATAACCTCGGAATACATGCAATTGATGTTTGGAACAGCCCCGGATTATGACTGAGGATGGTGTAATTTTAATAGTGAATTCAATGTTTTATATGTTTAATGTGCATTTAATTTTAATTGTTTAAACTTAAGTGTATTTTAATTGTTTGTTGTCCAAAGGAATTGAATAGTTGCCATCTGTAAAGCCGCCATGAGTCTCCTTCAGGGTAGAGAAAGGCAGGATACAAATACAGTAAATAAGTAAATAAATAAATATGTGTAACAATGTAAGAACATAGAAATTTGAAGACGTCCGGGTTTTTTTCATTCTCTTAATTGAAAGACACAGTTGATTGCAACTGCATCATATGGCCAGGTCTAGTACTGCAGATCCAAGTTTCCGATCTTCCCAAAGGATAGGAATTGCTCATGTTTTCTCTCTTACCTCCTTCTCTCTTCCCCCCCCCTCTTGCCCCAGGTATCATTCTTGACCCTCAATTGCCAGGAGGATGAGCCAACAGGATGAAGAGCAATCCAATCTGTCTCACTCCCTCTTCGATGCCTTTCTCCATGCCAAGCAGTGCAAAGAAGTGCTGGACAATTTTGAAGCACTGTGTCAACACCTGGGGCTGGAGCACACTGGCCAGCTCCAATTCTATCACAAACTCAAGTCTTGCCTCAACTATTGGAGTGCCAAGGCTTTGTGGACCAAGCTAGACAAAAAGGCTGGACACAGAGATTATGGTCAAGGGACAGCTTGTGCCAACACCAAGGTAAGAAGGCAGAACATGGTTGCCACAAGCAGAGAAAGTGCAACCTGTGGATAGTATGTGGGTCAATTGTGTCCACATTGTGGATCCTGACACAAAGGAAAACAACCTAGCATGTTTTTTTAAATGAAGAGCAATGCTAATCACTCCCCTGCCCCTCAAAAGAACATGCAATGTAGCAAGTTTTAAGAGCTACCTTCTCCTTTCACTTTGGTAATTTGAATGTAATGCCTCTGAATCTGAGATGACCAGCCAAGTTATCTCAAACAAGTTAGAATGCATATGACTGATTTTTGAAGTGATTGCCAGAATAAGCCTTAAATGTATGCCTGCAAGCCCTGGGAGCAGAACTCGGAAGTATGAAAACAGCTGTTGGAATGCCCTACTAACAGGTCTCTTACCTGCCATGACTTGTTAGATGTAATCTCAAATTGGGGAGCACAGGCTTCAGCCTAGTCCCTTGAAATCTCAAATGTTTGATGCAGCATTCAGGGCACTGGGTAATATAACGGGCAGTATCCATACTGATGGTGATTAGCAAATAGTACTAATTATACAGAGAAAGAAAACTCAGTTGAAAGTGAAACAGCTGAATATAGAAAAGGGCATTTTAGTGTTCAGGAAACTCAAAACACAATTTAAAAAAAGAGATGAGGGGTTCATTCATGCTGGTGAATTGTGCTATGCAAGAACATAGAAATTTGGCTAAGACGATGGAACGGATGAGGACTGAATATGACTACATAGTTTTAAAAAAATTATTGTTCACTGGTTTGATGTTTTTAGATATAGTGTAATGTGATGTTTTATTTTTAATGATGTATGTATTTTATACATGGCATCGAATTGTGCCGATTGTTCGCCGCCCTGAGTCGCCTTTGGGCTGATATGGGTGAGGTAAAAATTATATAAATAAATAAATAAATACCATGGTTCTATAGCATTCTGGGAATTTCAGTGTAGGGATGCGCATTTAGAATTGTGAATCAGTGCCTCCGCAAACTACAATTCCCAGGACACCATAGAATAGAATAATGGTGGATATTATTATTATTATTATTACATTTTTCTCCTTAAATGGGACCCTAAGCAGCTCACAACATTTGAAAAAACCAATACAAATCAACCATGCATATAACAATAAAACCAACTATAAAATAAAACATAAATAGATATTTTAAAAATCATGTTAAAGTGAAACCATTAATTTATTTTATGAACAAATTGTAATTGTTCTTACATTTAATTATACATGTACAGCCCTTGCAAGCTACTTTGAGTCTTGCTCCTGGAGAAACATGGCAAATTAAATTGATAATTCAATTTAATTTTGTATTGCAAAGAGCTTACCCTCTACCACCAAAGTAAAAGCAAAAAAACAAAAACAAACCCTTTGTGGACTATTTAAGCAGCGGTTCTAGGACTGGCTGTATAACAAATGTTAATTTGTCCTCTCATGTGAATGAATGACCGTTTTACATAGAGAAAATGCTGATACAGTCAAGTTACGTTCTTTGCTCTGACAGTTTAAACAAAGAGGAAGCATACATTTATTACGATAGTTTAAAAGGATGCTGCTTCAACAACTATATTTAGAAAAAGAGAAAAAGAGGGAATGGTTTTGAAATAGTACAAATCATGGAGACATTATGGAGAGAAAATGTTTCACTTGTCAGCAATGATGTCATATGCATATGTAAAAAACAGTGATGTTTATGTAACTGCCTGGGAACTCAAAATATAAATATAAATAATTTAGTGGCAGGATAAATGCATTCCCCCTGAAATAAATTATTTTATTTATATTCTCAGGAGAATAAGAATGCTATCTTGAAGAAATATTATCCATCTCCTTCAAAAGAGGTGGGGAACATTTGCTCCTCCAGATGTTTCGTATTGCACTCCCCAGCCATCTAAACAATATGACCAATGCCAAGATACTGTGAGAGTTGGAACCCACACATCTGAAGAAGCAAATGTTTCACGACCTTGCTCTCCAATAACAAAGTTGTTAATTATGTGGTTATCTCTCAGCCACACAATATCTGAGAAAGTCCATTGTTAGAATTTGAGGTGGAAATCATGTGCTTCTTCATCTGTTAGACTGCAACTGACAGCATTCCTCACCATTGCCTGTACTGGCTAGGGCTCATGGGTGCAGATACCCTCTGGGATGGCTGCATGATTCCCTCTCTTATTATAAGTAGTATTTGAATTGTCCTTGCTTCCTTAGGACCCTTCTACACTGCCATACAATCCAGATTATCAAAGCAATTAATCCACATTATCTACTTTGAACCGGATTATCTGAGTCTACACTGCCATATAATCCAGTTTAAAGCAGATAATCTGGATTTATATAGCAGTGTAAAAGTGGCCTGAGGCTGCTTCCACACAGGACCTAAATCCGCATCGGAGCAGGTTTAAGTTCCCACAAGCACCCAAAAGAATCAGGCTTTCCCGGGTGTTGTCCCCATTCCAGGGCATTAACTACTGCACTGAAATGGGGCCACCCCCCCAAAAAAGCCTTAAAATAAAATAAAAACTTACTGGACCACTGAGCCTCCTCTCCGGCAGCCCTCCTGGCACGTAGAAATGATGCTCCAGGAGGCAGCCGGGGGTTGGGGGAGATAGGTGGTTTTCCTGCTTTGTCCCAAGTTAATCCTCTGTTACCTGTGGTGTTGTTTGGATTCCTCAGGTAAAAGATCAACAGGACCCACATTTTGGACTCTGTCTGGAAGGGCACTTAGCCACAGTGAGACTGATGGGCTTTCCTTCGTCTCTCACCCTATCTATATTGTGGCTATTGTTTTGATGCAATTCTGATCAGTCCTGTTTAAGCTGACAGCTGACCTTAGATGGGGTCAACTCTGCACCATAGGCCTGCTGAAGCCAGTGCGTGCGTGTGTGCCCTGTCTCCTTTGCAACAAACTTTCCAAAGTGACCATTGGGTTTACTCATTTTCCAGTGCCTGATCATTGGGGCAGGTCCCTGTGGTCTGCGCTCCGCAATTGAACTGGCCTTCCTGGGAGCCCAGGTGGTGGTGCTGGAGAAGAGAGACACGTTTTCCCGGAACAATGTGCTGCACCTTTGGCCTTTCACCATTCAGGACCTGCGAACGTTAGGAGCCAAGAAATTCTATGGCCACTTCTGCACAGGTTCCTTGGATCATATCAGTAAGTATGATAGAAAGGGCGGATAAAAGTGTCAGATGTGAAAACCTGGAAGCAGTACTTTTTTGGATCAGAACTCCCAGAATTTCCTAGGAGTTAGGCCGGTTTGGGGATATCTGGGGGTTGTAGTCTTTGATTAGCATGGAGAATATGTTATTGATAGAAAACCAGCAATACCAGCTCATGGAAGCTAGTGGTCATGATGAGGTCCCAGTTATGTATTTGGGTAGGGGCATAAATATGGAAAAGGTCAGCACAAAATATCAATTTTAAGTAATTCACAGAAAAAAACAGACACATCTCCAAATTGTCTTTATTTGGAGACTAAAGAGTTTTGTTGTATTTGCAGTTGGCTCTCCACATTTGCCGGTTTAATCTTTGTGCCTTGAACTATTTACCGATGAAATATTGTCTCTTTAAGAATCTCTGCATCCTCCAGTGTGCCTTGTTGGCACACTGGAGAACTTCTAGCAGACACTGATCTTAGATTCATTTTGGAGGACCTAGAAATTTCTAATGGGGTTTGTTGGAGCTTATGAGAGTTGTTCTTTGGAGAGCACAAATTTTCTACCCCTCTTTTAAAGACAATAATTGCTTAACAGAAGCTCAGAAATGAGTGCAAATTTGTGTGCGTCTGTGACTTATACAATTTAGTTATTCCCTCTTCTCCCAACTGCAGGTATCCGTCAGTTGCAGCTGATTTTGCTGAAAGTTGCCTTACTCCTGGGGGTTCAGATTCACACCAATGTGCAGTATAAAGGACTTGTTCCACCAGCAGCCAGCTCCAGTGGACAGGGTGAGAGCATCATGTGACCAATACATTAACTTAAATTAAGGCCTGTTGCATTTCCATACATTTTATGTTTTAGTTGTTGGCTGTGAATAATCCCTCAGCAAGTAATGTTCCAGCTTAAGAATTGTCTAGGAAAGTAGATCAATGCCACTTTAAGATTTCGGAATAGAATACTGTGGTGTCCTCAGCAATAACCCAAACAGGCTTGGATTGAGAATTTCTTTCTAGATTGCTTCCCTGCTGGTGATCTTTTATTGAATACAGTAGAGTCTTGGTTATCCAACATAAACAGGCTGGCAGAACATTGGATAAGCAAAAATGTTGGATAATAGGGAGGAATTGCTTGCTTGCTCACTCAGGCTACGAGTCTGTTTACTAACAAAAAACAAAGTAGAAAAGGTGGTGGCAGAAGTGGTGGCAGAAGCAGGAGCCTGGCCTTCCCTTCTTGCCTCCTCCAGGCCCCAATTCCCTACCCCACTTGTCCTGGTGGCAAAGGCGGCAGTGGCAGTGCCGTCTTTGCTGCCCATCCTTGCTCGTTGACTCACTGGGCTGTGGATCCTGGTACTGCTACCGCTGCTAGCTTTGCTGCTAAGACCCGGCTCGGTGAGTGAGCAAGCGGTGAGGGGGGGGGCACAAAGGCAGGAACAGAAACAGGAGCCTGGCTGCCTCTTCCAGGATCCTGCTTTTGCCACTGCTGCCACCTTTGCCTCCTGCCTGCCCTCCCTCGTTCACTCACTCACTGGGCCAGGTCTTAGCGGCAGATCCAGGACCTGGCCCGGTGAGCGAGCGAGCGAGGAAGGGTGGATGAGCAAGCAAGTGAGGGTAGCAAAGGCGGACTCTGCCACTGTCGCCTTTTCCGCTGGGACGAGCGGGGTAGGGAGCCGGGGCCCGGAGGAGGCAGGAAGGGGAGGCCAGGCTCCTGCTTGTGCCACCTTTGCCACCCACCCTCCCTCACTCCTGCAGAACCAGAACCCAGTCGGGAGGACAGGTGAATGAGTGAGGGAGGGAGGGTGACAAAGGTGATGACCATCGCCTTTGCCATCAGGATGAGCAGAGTGTCGTATAATACGGAGTGTCAGATGAGCGGAGATGGGATAACCGAGACTCTACTGTACTTGTTTTATGAACGTGACTGTTTGGGATAAGAGAGTGGATTTGGCAGTCTTTACATCAGGGATCTTGATTCCATTTTCTCATTGCAGTCAGTGGCTGGAGAGCTGTATTACATCCCAGCTCCTCTCCGCTGAGTCAGTATGAATTTGATGTCCTCATCTCTGCAGGCGGCGGCAGGTTTGTGCCAGAAGGTGAGCTCTTGTTTAAAGCCTATAGTTAAGGCAGTGTTGGAGAATGCTTAAGTAAATGGGGCAGGATTTGAGGAATATCAGGTATTTTTCCTTTTTTAAAAAAGTAGAGCAGATAGTCAGCATGGTAGAGTAGCTTGGTGTCTGATTATGGGTGCATCAACACTGTAGAATTAATGCAGTTTGATGCCACTCTAACTGCTATGGCACAATGCTATGGAATCCTGGGATTTGTAGTTTGATGAGGATTGGGTGAAACTACAACACCAATGATTCCATAGCATTGAGCCATTGCAGTTAAAATGATATCAAACTCAGACAGTCTCAGATAGGGTAGCCATAATTGAAGGCCAGTTGAATGCATACAACAGCAAGACAACTCCAATTTTCTTCCTAATAATACTGTAGGGCTACAATAAACACACTCTCAATATTGGCCTGGGAGAAGCAAGTATTGTGAGTCTTCTTCCCTAGCCTTGGGATGCTGTAATACCCTTTAAGAGAATAATAACCCCAAACTAAGGGTGCATTTTGTTATGAATACTTAAAAGGATTGATGTATGAAAGCAAGAGCACTTGCCCAGCCTGGCTTGGCTCTACCCTGTCATTTTATAACCACCAACAGCAAGCATTGATCTCAATAGCTTGGGCCATAAAAGAAGTCTGAAAGGCATCTTGCCTTGAGGCAAGGTGGAGATGCAAAGCAGGGGGAGAAGAAAGCATCTGCTGGGCTGGCCCTGGTTACATCATTTGCTGGTACTCATCCAAGCAAAGTTCATAAATGGCCTGTGTGACCGCAAAAGCATCCCCTCCCTCATCTTTCATTTCATTTCTCATATTCTTGTGAGATTCTTACAGAATGTTTTCCAGACCTTCCCTACAATTCCCTAGATATGAGGGATGGTGCAGCCTTTGTGTAATAAACTGTGCTAGCCCCACTCTTTTGTAAACTGATTTTGTGGAGCAGGAGAGTCACTTCCCTATCATGCTGCTGAACTTTATCCTTAATCTGTTGTTTAGAGCTCTAACTTGCATTTCATCATCCTGGAGTACACTTTTAGCCAGTTTTCTAGGATGTATATCCTTGCAGCCTGAATTAAATATACATCCAACCCCTACATATCCAAGGATTCTCTATCCATGGATTCAACCACCTATGGCTTGAGAATATTAAAAAATAAATTCCAAAAAGCATACCTTGATTTTGCCATTTTATATGAAAAGTCACCATTTTATTACAGCACTGTATATAATGGGACTTTGAACATCCATGGACTTTGGTATCCACAGGTCCTGGAACTGAACCGCAGCAGATACCAACGGCCCACTGTATAATAATAAAATACAACAAACTAAGGGCCCTTACTCACAGTCATATAACCCAGCATATCATGACAGATAAACCACAATATCTTATTTGAACTGGATTATCTAAGTCCACACTGTCATATTATCAAGTTCAGTGTGGATTTTATATAGCTGTGTGGAAAGGGCCTTAAATTCCAGATGGTTAAACTAGCATAATATCTGAACAGAATAGCAACAGATAAATGTTTGAAAAAAATATAGCTTCATAAAATTATCCAAAATTTAAATTTGTCAGAATGCCTTTAAGCATCTCCTAAATAGCAACAAAAACTGGTCTTCCTGGGGAGGATATTCTAGAGTTGACCAAAGATCAGATCATGCTCCCATGCGAAGAAATCAATTTGGAGGGATCCTGAAATTCTAGGTCGTGGAGGAAAGGTTTGATGTCAATTCTTCCACTACTGAAAGTGTAGTGACATTATGGGACTAACCCCATTTTTCCTGCCTGACCATTCTTGTTGTAGCTTTTCTTGAACTTTTAGTCTTCTCATTTCCTTCAGGATTGATGGGTGATACTCTTGTAATTTTATTGTAGGCTTCAAGAGGAAGGAGACTCGTGGGAAGTTAGCCATCGGTATCACCACCAACTTTATTAACAACCACAGCCGAGCTGAGGTGGAGGTGGCTGAGATCAGTGGAGTAGCTCGCATCTACAATCAGAAATTCTTCCAAAACCTCAATAACAAAACAGGTCTGAGTCTAATGCTTCTCAACTTACAATTAATGATTACCTTCTCTCTTTGTGCCTTGAAGACTATGTGATCATATGCTTTCTAATGAAACATAACAAGGATATCCAGCCAACACATAGAAGTAAAACAGCCTGACTCTTTCTCCAGACCTATCCAGAGCTCAAAACATTTGAGCTCATGCACTTTTATCGGAGGCATCCAAACAACGCTTTCAGTAAAAGTGAATTAATTCGGGACAAAGCAGGGTTTTCCTGCTTTGTTCCAAATTAATTAGGTAATGGATTAAACCCGGGTCTTCCTGAAAGACCCAGGTCTAATCCAGTATGGGCTTTCTGTGTGGACTGCCAGGACTTCCGAGAGGGCAGTCTACAGGGCCCTCTTGCATTTTCCAGGCTGAATACTATTATTGGCTAGTAGCCATTGATAACCATCTGTGATTTAATCCTCCATTTGTCTTTCAACAATGCCAGGTATTGACTTGGAAAACATTGTCTACTATAAAGATGACACCCACTACTTTGTCATGACAGCAAAAAAGCAGAGTTTGCTGAAGAAGGGAGTCATCTTAAAGGTATGTGAGAAGCAGGATACTCCAGCAAGTACCAGGTAGAAAATGGGGAGACTGCAAACCATCTTTTGAATCCATGTGCATTTGAAGGTGAAACATCCTTCCAGGTTTAGAGTTGATTTGCATGGTTTCTTTGAAGTGACTGAGATTTTTTTTGGTCTTTTGCAGTGCATTTTTTTTGGTCTTTTGCAGAACATGCCAGTGAGTTGTACTTTTGGCTGGCTGACATACACAAACTGCACCATCTGTTTCTGTGTGAATTTGCATTTAAGAGTGGAAAAGGAAGTTGAGTGAACTGAATTATGCAGTTCACAGAATTAGAAAGTAGACTTTGTTGAACTGTATCCATTGGACTATTGTTTCTGATTTTCAACATTTCCTCCTTAGAGGAAACAGTCTTCACACAGAAAATAGTATCTAGTGGAGAAGACTTTGTTCTGAACCCCTTTCTTGTGATAGCTCTCAGTGTGCAGACATCATTTTCTGCAAGAGTTATTTGCCTTTTTGTGAGTGTATACATGACTCCCTCTCTATCATGCACAGAGTGCCTTGAATTGTGCACATTGCTACTAACAAAGGCATTTATTTAGGTTGGGGACTAGTATAACAACTAAACTTTCTCCAAAATCTAACTGTGATGGAGGGGTAACATTTAGAGCTTGGATGCTAAGTAGCACCAGACTCAGAATAGTGCTTGCAATGGAAAACTATATGAATTGGGACAAATTTGGAGGGACAGTAAATGAAGTAAGATGCACCTGAGTAATACAGTGGGATGTCCAGGATGTATCTCCTCTGGTCATGTGGGTAATTAAACACTTTTTTCTGGTGAATACCTATCAGAACCCCTGTTAGAAAAAAGGTTATAATTTTATGATACATTGTTTTTTCTGACTTTGTGATCTCTGTGTCCCCAAATAATCTGGGAGAGTTGAGGAACTCCATAATAATAATAATAATAATAATAATAATAATAATAATAATAATAATAATAATAACAACAACAACAACAATAATAGTCGTCGTCATCATCATCATCATAGAATCATAGAATCATAGATTCATAGAGTTAGAAGAGACTTCATGGGCCATCCAACCCCCTGCCAAGAAGCAGGAAAATCGCATTCAAAGCACCCCTGAGAGATGGCCGTCCAGACTCTGTTTAAAAGCCTCCAAAGAAGGAGCCTCTACCACAGACTGGGGCAGGGAGTTCCACTGCTGAACGACTCTCACAGTTAGGAAGTTCTTCCTAATGTTCAGGTGAAATCTCCTTTCCTGTAGTTTGAAGACATTGTTCCGTGTCCTAGTCTCCAGGGCAGTAATCTGTATCATATGACAGTATTCTTACTATGAAAGCTATTATGGTGTCTATTCATTTCTAGGATAAGCTGGACATAGAAAGTTTGCTGTCTCCAAAGAATGTGAATCAGGAAGCTCTTCTTGCTTATGCGAAGGAAGCTGCCAATTTCTCCACCAACTACAAGCTCCCCAATTTGAAATTTGCACTGAATCACCGCAGTCAACCTGATGTTGACATGTTTGATTTCACCTGCATGAGCCGTTCAGACAATGCAGCTCTGGTGCGTGACTGTAAAGGCAAAAAACTGCTCATTGGATTGGTAGGAGACTGCTTAGTGGAGGTAAGGACATCCTTAATAATACCAGAATAAGTGTATTAAGAGTGGGGGCTTTTTTACAGTGGAAGCTGTGTACATCTCCAGCATATTTGATTGTCAGTCTTCTTCAGTTATCTTTGCATTAGAATTAAATTCTATGTTCACATGGTACACTTTTCTGAGACTGTATTTCTACAGAATACATATAGGGAATGTTGTGTTATTGACCACTGTTGTGTGCCTTCAAGTCATTTTCAATTTTTGATTACTCTAAGGCAACCCTATCACATGATTTTATTGGAACACTTTCTTCAGAGAGGTGTTGCCATCATCTTCCTCTGAGGATGAAAGAGTGTGTCCAAAAGGTTTTCATGGCTAAATGGGGATTTGAATCCTAGCTGCCAGAGTTATTTTAACACTCCAACCATTACACCACACTGGCTCTGTATTTAAACACATATACACTCTTGTTTTTCATTATGTGACCTTTCAAGTAGTTGTACAGTCAAAGGACACAACTGTGAGATCCCCCCCCCTCCCAAGTATAGTCCATTTCTTGTTCCTGTTGTAAGGCCTTAGAATATCCTTTTGTTGAGGGGAGTACAAATGGAATTTATTAGCCCTGCACTTTGTTTAGCTTTGATGATTATTCAACAGCTGGGAGACGTATTCTGTCCTATCTGGCTTTTCATCTTTTGTGCTTGCCTACTCTTCTCTGCTGTTTTATCTGGCAAAGCTCAACTTACCAGCTGATACCTGGAAGGGAATGTGCACAGAGGGACTGTCATAAAGAAACTGTATCTGCCAAATTAAACACAGAAGTCTAGTTCGCAGGTGTTTTGGTCTACTGTCATTATCTCTTGAGCTTTAGGCCAACATGTGCTATATCCTTTGGGGGCATTTTTCTTTTTGTTATTATGTGTCTTCAAGTTGACTCCTACTTATTGTAACCCTATCCTACAGTTTTCTTTGGCAAGATTTCTGCAGAGACAGTTTACTACTATTTTCCTTTTAAGCCAAGAGAGAGAGCAACTTGCAGAAGCTCACCCAGTGAGTTTCCCTCAAACCCTGCTGTTGCTACACTATGCTTTGCAGTAGGGATATACTTCTATACGGCAGTAGGGATATACTTCTAACTGGACAAAAAACTTGACACTTTCTATGTATTTTCTGTTCTTCAGCCATTCTGGCCCTTGGGCACTGGTGTAGGCAGAGGATTTCTGGCTGCTTTTGATGCTGCCTGGATGATAAAAAGGTGGGCCTCAGGGACACCCCCTCTGGATGTGCTGGCTGAGAGGTAAGTACCCTTGAGAAAGGACAGTCTTTGTTCTCAGCATTGGATTTTTATTGCAGTTGGATGAGTAGGAATCTTATGCTATTTGTTAGTTGTAGAAAGAATGACAGCCTTATGATGAGCAATGTTGTCTGCAAGCTCACCACAAAGTGAAAAACTAGAGGTGGGTTGATCAGAATTGGTAAATAAACAGAAAGGAGGGAAATAGTTGAATGGTCCTTTGCTTTGTGACACTTCCAAACTCGTAGTCTTCTGAAGTTCTCAGCAGTATGTAGCAATGGCCAAGAGGCTCAAAGATAGAAAGGAGGGACTCAAGCTGGTCTCATGAAGTTGCAAGAAGGACTATGCTTGTAAAATATTTAAGTCTTCAATGTGTTGTCGAAGGCTTTCATGGCTGGAATCACTGGGTTGATGTAGGTTTTTCGGTCTGCATGGCCATGTTCTAGAAGTATTCTCTCCTGATGTTTCACCTGCATCTGTGGCAGGCATCCTCAGAAGTAGTGAGGTCCTCAGAGGTAGTAAGATATTTGAATGTTTGCTCCCAAGCTTCACTGCACAAAACTCTTGTTGTAAACCGCGTTGAGTCACCTACAAGGCTGAGAAATTGCGGTATACAAGCAAAGTAAATAAATAAATAAATAAATAAAACCAAGCAGGATGGGAGAAGAGGAACTTTGGTCAAGGAGGAGGAGAACTGGGGAGGCGGGGGGTGGGAGTGATCCTGATATCTTCCCTGCAGGCAGCAAAATTATGATGGCTGGCTGAAAGTGAATCTTGAGCACTGCTGAGGGACTAAGAAGAGAATATTCATGTTTAATCTCCACACAGAGAGAGTTTATATCAGCGGCTGTCGCAGACTTCACCGGACAACACCAATAAGAATATCAATCAGTATAGCATTGACCCTATCACTCGGTACCCGAATATCAATCTTCAAGCTATCAAGGCTTCTCAGGTATTCAAGAGACCTACTTTAGGGGAGGGAGAAGGGAGAAGCAAAGGCAAGAGCATATCTGAATCTCTGCCCACTGTCCGATTTCCCTCTTTGCTTTGTAGCCTTGGCTGTCCCTTTTGCAACTTTTAAAGCATTGGCATGCCATGGGTACTGCACTACAATGAGCCACATTCCAGCAAATAACAGGAATGCTTAAGGCATAGGGGACAAGGCCTGTAGAACAATCTGTTCTGCAAGACATTCTCGTTCTGCTCCCATCTAGCAAATAGAGTGTGGTGTATTTTCCAAGCCAAGAAAATGAGGGTCATATCAATTCATCCTCAGAGGAGTTGTGGGATCTTCTTTTGTTTTATTTTGCATCTAAATTGTGAAAGGCAGTACCAAGTAACTGGGTGCATTTTTTTTCAGGTTCGAAACCTGTATGTGACAGGAGAAATTGAAACAGATCAGAAGAAGAGAAGAAGTCGTGCCAGTTTGGAGATAGTTTATAAAGGCAAGGCTGCACAATGTCCTCCCTGCATTTATCTATTAGAAAGCAGGCCTCCTACTGTATGTTCATCCTCTCTTGGGTGCAATGGCTTCTTGATTTCTCTGTCACCATGTAAACCCTTCAGTGGATGCAAATTATAAAACTGAGAGTTGAAAGTAATCTTTGAGCTATCCAGTCCAATCCCCTATCTAATGCATGGTGCAGATGGAAGTCCAGCCTCCATGGAGAAGTCCTCTTTTCCTGAGGCAGTCTGTCTAATGTCTAACAGGCTGTTCATTGAAAAGATTCTCATGTTTAGCTGAAGTCTTCCCTGCAGTGTCCACCTGCTGGTCCATTTACCCTGTATGTCCCAATTGCCAACCTCTGTTACTGTTTCACTGGGTCCCTGCTTTACACCTGAACAACAGATACTTTGGATCAAGGTGTGAAAAAGATCAGCTCAATCAGATGCATGGAGTAGAGCTACCCTGCAAAAGTTTGTACTACCATCTTAGTATGCCAAAATCCTTCGAATATAAAGCAGAAATTAAGAACTAGTGTGTCACAGGAGATGGAACTGTGTATCTGCCCAGATGTTGTTGAGTTGCCCTCTGGCCAGCAGTTAGGAATGCTGGGAATTGTACCATCTAGCTCTACTCCATGCATTCTTTCCATCTCTGGGTTAGCAAGCTGTACTGAAACTAGTAAGATCTGTTTTCTAGTTCTCAGTGGGCCAAAAAAGTGACTGGGTAACCTTGGCCCAATCACTCTGTCCTGATATACCAAACAGGTCAAGCAAACAGAACAAACAATGCAAAAAAAGAGATGGAAGATAAATTCAAATTATATCATCTATCTCCTGTATAGTTGACCCTTCACGTTTGCAGGTTTGGCTTTTGCAGGTCTTATTCTTGGTGGAATCGATTAAAATGTCATATTCAGGAATTTCTAATGAATTTGGGGGGCTAGCTGTAGTTGAAAATGTCCTGGGGCTGTGATGTAAATGTTGTTTTGGCAGTTTCTGTGTCAGGCCATGTTCTTTGCTCTCTTCTCATTTTCTCCTTTCTCCATGAACCTTCTTCCTACTTCTAGACGCCAACAGAGCCTACGAAGAGCTCCTTAGCTGGTGTCAAGTGAGCACTGCAAAATACCCCAGAATCAAGGTAGAGGACTTCACACACTCCTGGAAAAACGGACTGGCACTGTGCACACTCATACACCATTTCCGACCAGACCTTCTGTAAGTCCCCCATATTTAAGGGAAGGAATCCTTGCTAGCAATAAGAAATGTGATATCCATTTGAAACTCTGTGAAATTGTGGGAGAGAGCTGTGTACTATTCCAGTCCCTGCCTGAAGCACAAACAAGTCACATCAAATGGTTGTTTTGGTTTTGACACCTTCTTATGTGATATCATACATATTTGAGTCAGTACTTTGAAATATCACTTTTCTGGATTATGTCAACCAATTTCCCACAGCTATGCGGTATTATGGCCATTCTAATTCCAAACTTAACCTTTTCTTTTGATTTCATTTAATCACTAACCATGCTGCATCTCAGCATATCTTCTTTGCACCATTAAGTACATAGTACTGAATTCCGATTGCTTCATCTCAGCATTACTTTTTCGGGGTATTAATTACATTTAATGGCTTTTCCGAGTTAATAATTATGCTGGGCTTTTGTAGGAAATACATTTAAAATTTGCTGAGCAACTCAACTTGTTTTCCTGCTGTGTGCATTTTCTGAATGGTGACTAATTTATATATGCACACACACTATGTGTCTTGACAAGCCAAAGTATTCAAATCTCCTTCAGAAAATTGTCTGCATTCTAGAGGGCTAAAGTATGAACTAGTATATACAGGTCTGCACACCACCTGAAGTTCACAAATAGGGGTTTGCAGTGAAATACAGATTTTGTCACTGGCGTTTGGCCTACAGCAGGTCATGCACCGATACAGATGGCTGTTTGAAACACATTTAGTGATGAATATGCATCAGTCCATGAGGCTCTGAGCCTGAGCCACAGACCTAGTAGGCTAACAGGTTTTTATGACTGACCTGTTGATTTGCTTGAAATTTGAGAGACTCAGTACTGACCAGCATTGTTGAGAAAACGCAAGTAGAGTGGATCTTTTTCTACTGTATATAGTTTCCACTTCAGAAAAGAGACCCCAGTGACACAGTGGGTTAAACCCCTGTGCTGGCAGGACTGCTGATTGACAGGTCAGTGGTTCGAATCCGGGGAGAGTGGGTTGAGCTCCCTCTGTCAGCTCCAGCTCTCCATGTGGGGACATGAGAGACGCCCCCCACAAGGATGGTAAAACATCAAAACATCCAGGGGTCCCCTGGGCAAAGTCTTTGTAGTTTCTCAAGTTGCTCTGACACCAAAAAAAAAAGAAGGAAGGAAGGAAGGAAGGAAGGAAGGAAGGAAGGAAGGAAGGAAGGAAGGAAAGAAAAGAAAAGAAAAGAAAAGAAAAGAAAAGAAAAGAAAAGAAAAGAAAAGAAAAGAAAAGAAAAGAAAAGAAAAGAAAGGAAGGAAAGGAAAAGGAAAAGGAAAAGGAAAAGGAAAAGGAAAAGGAAAAGAAAAAGTTCAGAAAAGGGCCCATAGTGATGAATGTCCACCTTAGCCTTTCTGCAGCTTCAGAAAGTAGATTCCATTTGCTTCGAGTCATGTTTTCACTCATTCAATTAATCCAATGGAAACTGCACTGGAGCCTCTCCAGAGCCCTTTTGGTGTCCAGACAGCCATCTGGACCGAGAGCACATTAGGGCCACTGCTGCTGTGTTGCTAGCCAAAAGCAGCTTCCTGGCAAATGGCTTGCTGGCAATGTCATATTTCCTGGGCACATGGCTGGGTGCCCTATTTTAACCTTACCAGAACTGACATAACTAACAAAACTTTACCAGGGAGCTGCTTGTGGCCAGCAACACAATGGTGAGTATATTGGATGTGTGGACACACCTTCCAAACTCTGGGATCACTCCATTTTCACTTGGGCTGGATTAATGGCTAAATGCAGCAGTTCTGCTGTGACTCCAGGTATGTATCATGTGAACTCCTTGCAGCAGAGAGGCAAGCCTACCTTTGGCCCATGTAAAATACATCCTCAAATGTCAGGGACAAATTGGGCCAAATGTGAGAAACTTTGTCCATGGTTTGCTTTTACCTAACTATCATGGGCATGTTGGTAACTTTATACATTGACATTGCTTCAGAACTGGTACTCAAGGTGACATTATACTACCATGGCTCAGGTCTCAGGCACATATGTCTTACTAGTTGTAAAGAATGAAAGGCTTCTTGCAAAACTGAAGTGTGAACATGAGCTTCAAATGTGCAACCCCTTGTCTTGTTTCTATGTCTTCAGTGCCTTCTCCTTTCAATCCCTGGGGCCAGAAACTCCACAAATGTAGAATAGTTGCTTTGCTCTCTTGGCTGTCAGATCTTGATAGAAAGGTCACAGCATTTAATTTACTCATGGTTGGTGACCAAATGGGGCATAATAATTTCCTATTTCCTCCTCATCAAGTAAAATAGAATATGAGCCAAGTCCTCTCAAGGGAAGAGAGCTGGCAGGTGTCCATTTACTAGAAATAGTGCCGTAATTGCCTGCGGATGCCTAAAATTGGCAGACAGTTCCCACAAATCATCTGTCATGTGCCTGGGGTTGCTTTTGAAAAGCACCTGCCATGCAGATCACCCTCTGGTTTTTTCCCCCCTGTGGTTAAATAATACATGTATATATAACAATGCACAGATAGCTATGCCAGCACAGAAAAAGGTAGTTTTGGAAGGCTTCCTCGCTGCTTCCTGAGCAACAAGGGAACAGATCCCAATTGATTGTAGTGGCTGCTTCCTGGTAACAGCAGATTGAGGGATTTTTATGATCCTTTTGTAGCTCCCAAACTAGGGACTCTCTAGGCATCTTGAATCCAAAACAGTCACAAGGGCATACACATTCATAAGTATTGCAAAGGAATCCCACTGACATCTCTGTCAGTCACTCTAATGTGCAACTTTCCTTTCTAGAGACTTCACCTTGCTGGACCAAAATGACCCCATTGGGAACAACCAACTGGCATTGGATGTGGCTGAGCAGGAGCTAGGGATCCCTCCAGTCCTCTCCAGTACTGAAATGGCTTCAATGTCAGAGCCTGAGCAGCTTGGCTTGATCACCTACCTGAGCCAGTTTTATGATGCCTTCAAGAACTCTCCAGGTAGAGGCTCTCAAGATATTCAGTTATAACGTTTGACCAGTTAAGACTTAAACATGGCACCAATAGTCTGCTAGATTTCTTGTAGCCAGTATGATAGATTCCTCCATGGCCCATGGGACTTATAGTCCTTACTGAAGAAAAAAGAGTTGAGGGACATGGAGAAAAGAGGTGTCTGCTTGGTCACCTAAAGGCCTATCTAATCCTGCCTCTTGTTGTTCATCATGGCCTTCTGTAATTGACCAAGAGTTAAGCATCAAGATGTATGTTACCTCTGGTCCTGGAGGCAGTACACAGTAATTGTGACTGTTGATAGTTACCATAGCCTGCATCGTGTTGTCTTCCTTGGTGTTACTCTATTTCAAAGCATTTTTTTGGCTGTTGTGAATTGAATGTCAATCACATCAAAACAGATTTGAGAATTATGAAGCTAAGACAAGTCAGTAGATAAAGGCTTTATTCAGTAATTAAAGGATACTGCAATCAATTATGTCGGGGAAAGTATACATTTAGCAGTTAGTAGCCCATCTTCCTTTCAAAAGGATGTTGGGTCCCCAAAGCACACAAAAGTCATTCAATGTACCCTCAGTTCCCTCAGTAGGTGCTGACTTCATCCTGTACAGTGAATAATTTAAATGGCTGGAAAAGGCTTCTGCTATTTAACATGGGGGTGAATCATTCCATAACAATCAATTTGAGGCAAGCAAGAACCAACAACAGTGGGTTGTGGGACCACAAATCAATGCTTGGATGTGTTAAGATTTTGAAATGTAGCTTCCAGAATTTGCCATCCATTCTGGTTGGTTTCCCATCCATTCTGGTTGGGAGAGTAGGAAAGCCGTAGTCCAAAACAAAGGTCTTCTGTAAAGATATAGTGAAACAGGCCCTATAGCTCCATTCCTTTGAAGACTTTTCCAGTTGTGTATAGCCATTTTGGTAGGAATGGGTGGATTTTTGTTAAGTGTCATCCATTTGCGTGTTTATATGAGTGAAATGATAAAAAGTTAAGCTCAGAAACAGGAAACACTGTGTACTTTCTTGCAGAACCTGAGGAGAAAACAGCTAAGCTCCTAACACCCCGAGGTACGAAGGGAGCTATCCTATTTCTTAGCAAGCTGCAGAAGAGTCTGTCTCTCTCACGTAAAAGGAATCTGGTGAGTCTGTTTGCCCAATAGCCAGTGCTAAATCCATTGCTAGATGTTTCCAAAAGTGCCTTTTAAAAATCATGCATATTAGATTATAGCCCTTTGGCACCTGATGGAATTTCCTCTCAACTTATCCTAACTTCCATCCCCATTGGATGTCTCTATGGGATATCCTTAAATTTGTTTTGAGACCTCAGGGCCCTGGGTCTTCAGTGGTGATTTCTGTACTAAAAAGACTTAATATTGTCTATAGGAGGAGAATTCCACATGGGATGAACAAACCAAGAAGAAAAAGCAAGAGCCTGGGGTGAGTTTACAGATTACAAACTATAAACTATTAGTTTACAGATATCTATAAACTAATGGGAATTTAGATTTTTGAAATAATTATCCAAAATGGAGGAAAAAGGGGAGCCTGGGTGATTTCCTCTGGGCATCACTGGAAAAGGGTTTGTCTCTTAGACCAATCTGCACAACTTCACTCCTTATCTTAGTCTATTTTCCTTAGGCAGCAAAAGACTAGCTAGACCAACTCAAAACCGTTATAAAGACATTCCCCTGGAAAGTGATTGTGTGGGATGTATTTGGGTCAAAGGAAAACATTCTCCGAAAATCCCCCAGTAGAAAAATAGGGCTTAAACATTACAAAGTATGGGGCACCTTAATGCTCAGCTATGCAGCTATTCAATCCCATTATATGGGCTGTTCCTTCATCCAGTAGATTTGCTGAAAGAATATATGTAAATGGTCTTCCCTAGATAGCAGAACAAGAATGAATGAACAGAGAAGCAGGAGGTCTGTTCTTCAAGGTGTGACCTACATCCATGCCATCCATTTTGCTGCCTACTAAAAATATATCCTCTCATCAACCCAGGGCCTTTATTGTACCCCATACGTGGCCAAAATTCCTATTTTTGTTGAGCCTCTGACAAAGGCCCCATCCAGACAGGACCTCTACCGCAATAATGAAGGGGCTTGCCCAGACAACGTTCTGGACAGTCCTGAATTAATTTGCTACAAAGCAAGAAAACCCTGGTTTGTAGCAAATTAATTAGATAGTGGGTTTATTCCGCGCCTTCTTGGAAGGCGTGGGATAAACCCACTATTTCTGGTTCTGCAGTCCAGACACTATTCTGCAATCCACTTCTGTAGTCCAGACATTATTCCTCGAGCGGCTGTCCCAGTGCATAGAAATGACACGCCAGGAGAGGGGGGGGGGAGGAAAATCACCCCCAAGAAAATCCTCACTTTTTAAAATGCGGATTCTCCTAGGATAAAGGCCTGTCTAGATCCAGCCTTAGTTAGAACATCACAGATCTGAGTTAGTGATTTTGATCTGGGATTTGGACTGTGACTCCTTTCTAGAAATATAAGACTGCTTGGGGCAAATGGCTCTAAGGAGAAAAAAAAACATTGATCTTTTGACAGAGCCCTCCTGTCTCTCCTGTGAGGAGCAGCGATGCCTGCTATATCTGTGGCGAGCACGTCTACATTGTAGAGCGGGTCAGTGCTGAAGGGCGCTTCTTCCACCGAAGCTGTTTCAAATGTCACCAGTGTAAGACAACTCTGCGGCTGGGGGATTTTGCCTTGAATGAAGATGATGGTGAGTGGAGTGGAAGGTCCCAGGTTCAATCGCTCACATCTCCAGAAAGAGTTGGGAAACATGGAGCTGAGCTTTAAGTAGACTGAATCAGTCCTAGCAGTTGTGCTCATTTGCTTTTTTTAAATTTATAAATTGTATTTGATACATCCCAACAATTAACAAACTTTTGCCATACAGGACTTATTTCAGTACACATTATTCCAAAAGTAAATATTTCTTAAATGACATTTTATACATTCCTTAGTTATGTATCATTTGCTGAGACTGAGGGCCCTTCCACACAGCCCTATATCCCAGAATATCAAAGCAGAAAGTCCCACAACATCTGCTTTGAACTGGATTACCTGAGTCCACACTCAGATAATGTGGGATTCTCTGCCTTGATATTCTGGGATATAGGGCTGTGTGGAAGGGCCCTGAGCAATGCAAGCAACTTCTTTCACCTGATTACAGCCATCTTGTTTCATTCTTAGGGAATTTCTATTGCAGCCTCCACATTGCAGGCTCCACAGACGCGGCTGCACCCAGTAGCAGAATTTCTTCTGAAGCAGAATATAAAGTAAGCAAAATTTGTTACTTTTCAGAATTAAACTAGTAAGATGGTGCTAAAATGTTAGTTGTCTTTGTGTTCTTGTTCAGAATTCTTTATTTGTAGTATATCTTGCCATTCTCACAGTGCAATTGTTCTTCTGTGTGCTTTTTCTAGGAATCTTCCCAGATCTGCAATCCTTCAGCCAAAGGCATTCTGGACTTGGCTGCTAAGGAAGATAGAATGGAAATAGATTCAAGACAGCAAAGCCCATCATCCTTTACAGATCAACTGCTAGCAGGTCAGCTTGAAGAATCTCAGAAATTAGTTGGTGAAGGATTGGACTTGTCTTCATCCAGAAAAAATGGAAGTGTTGCCATGATAAAGCCATCTCAGCCGGCGTTGCACCAGCAGCTCTCCCTTGCAGAGAAGTTGCAGGACTCTGAGACCAATTTAGCTTCACAGGTTGGGCACCAAGGTACAGATGTAGATAGGGCCTATGCTGAAGAACTTGACTTAAGAAGTTGGATTGACCACCGGTTGCAGGAAGAGGCACATAGGGACTTGGTTACAGGCATGCAAGGAGCCAGTATACACCCTGCTGTTTCTCGAAAGACTCTAATTCCTCCAAGTCCAGTACTAGAACAAGGGGAAAGTGGGAATGCCCAAAGGAGAAAAATCTGTCTATCAACCCTGGAAAAACATGAACTATCCAGATTGAGTCCAATTATAGGCTCGTTTAATTTTCCAGATTCAAGTCTGGAAGAATCCAGCATCAGCAAAGACTCAGAAGGTAAAATTATGTGTAATTTATTATCATTAATTATTATTTAGTTCCATTCTAATGTCAGTCTCTTTGTGTGCTTGAGTTCCTCATGTTACACATTAGTCTCACGTAATCTTATAGGACAAGGGATGGGGAGGAGAGCATGGTTGTTCAAATCAAGCAACAAACACACTATTCTGTGTGAATAGAAACATAATAATTGAGTGACGCCCTAAGGGACAACTGTAAAAGTTAGAGACTTATTTGTGAACAAATCCCAATATCTGTACCACCACTTGTAATGGAATGTGGCCTATTCTAATTAAAAACAAAAGCTGTAATAAGCTGGAACGATCTTCTGGCTGATAACCTTTTAAAAGAACACTGGCTACCACCACACTTGAAGGAAATGTTAAGCCCTTGGCATGTCTTGAGGTTTAATTAGGCTAGAATGTGCTGGATTCACACTCAGACTTTGTATTCTGAGGTAACACTTAAGAGATTCCTTTTAAAATACACGCTGCCACCATTTAACTTTGATTTCTGTAATAATTTGCTTTGGAACTTCTCACACAGAGGCACACGTGAGACAGATGATGTGAACAAATAACAATGTTGTTTATTTGAAAAAACTTGAACAATACGGGCTTTAAGCTTAGCGGTTTCAATGTTGAATAAAAGTGTATGGTTTCTTTAAACAGTTCCCAACTTAGTTGCACATAACACTCTTCTCTCCCTCCAGAAACTACTAAGAGGATTCCTCTCTGCCTAGTATTTCTAAACTCCACACAGACAGTCCTTTCCCTCTGGATCTGTCTCCCCACTCCACCAGCTATCCTTCCCAATAGCTATAACACTTCTCACTAACTAACTTTGCTGACTAACTGACCAACTTCTGGCTTCATGAACTCTTCTCTTCTTCACACACTCCCTCGCTCCTTCTTCTTTGACACACCAACCCTAACTAAGCTGTCAGGTTTTAAAAGGCCCCCTTAAAGTCAATTTTTTTCCTTTCTTGAGTCAAGCTCTGCCCACTCTCTCCCAGCCAATTACAAACTCCCCTCATTTCCTTCCAAGCTGCTCCTAAGCACGCCCCCTCCAGGAAATGAGATTCTAAGATGGATGCCCCCAGGCACCCTTCTAAAATGGCTGCTAAACATCCTGGGCCTACTTTTCTGGGCTTTTCCTAGCCTAACAGGTAGGGAATTCATCACAACAACCCAAAGAGAATTTTGTGTAATCCATGCATGCAAGAGCCTGGTTGGCTCATGCAGAAAAAAATGGAACTTGTGTATTCCATACAACCAAAGTAAAGGTAAATGTATTATCGAAGGCTTTCATGGTCAGAATCACAGGGTTGTTGTAGGTTTTTCAGGCTGTATGGCCATGTTCTAGAAGCATTCTCTTCTGACATTTCACCTGCATCTGTGACAAGCATCCTCAGAGGTTGCGAGGTTTGTTGGAAACTAGGAAAATTGTATTTATATATCTGTGGAAGGTCCAGGGTAGGAGAAAGAACTCTTGTCTGTTGGAGCTAGGTGTGAATGTTTCAATTGGCCACCTTGATTAGCATTTGATGGCCCGACATTATTTAGGTATGGCTTGTTACTGCCTGGGAAATTCTTTTGTTGAGAGGTGATTAGGTGTTCCTGATTGTTTCTTGTGCTTTCACTTTTTTCTCGTGGGATTGTATCCTACATTCAGACAGGGAATGAGAGTTTGTGATGTTAAATATTTACGCTTCATCTATTGCTGTTTAAATAGAAATGTTGAGAGCTCCTCCTTATAAAGCAAACTTGCATGGTACATAAAGAGAAGCTGCTCATTCTGACCTTTCCCTCTGATTAATGTTCTATCTCCTCTAAAGTGACAAGTGGTGGTACTGGAGCAATCTCCAATTTAACTATTCAGAGCAGACCAATTCAGGTAGCTTATCAGTTCCTTTTCTGCCCTCTGACTGCTGCTAAAATTTCCAGGACCTTGCATTGTGCTTGACTAGGAGTCTGGGAATCCCAAATTTGAATTCCGCATTCAGCTATGGAAACCCAGTGGGTTCCCATGGTCAAGTCCCAGTACCTCTTTCTCAGAAGAAGGCAATGGCAAATCCCCACTAAATAAATCTTGCCAAGCAAACCTTGTGATAAGGTTTCTATAACTTCAAACCCAAGGCACATAGTAACAATAAATATTCCCATCTTCCATTTGGCACCATTTTCTTCCTTAATCATTTTTTTAATTAAGGGCTATAGTGTTATGCTTATTACACAACATGGAGTTTCAAGTTCATTTTTCGATAAATGTATCAGAGCCTTGAGGGGGAGCATTACTTATAATGCAGTACTTGCCAGAAGAGGTTGGTTTATGTCTCTCTCTCTCTCTTTGTTAATCCTCACTTGCATTCCAACCAAAACGATCACTGCTACCCGCAACCTCCCCACCCTCCAAACGCACATCTTGCAGCTTTATGGAAAAGATCCTTAAGCCTCCAAGCCCACACACAAGAACTTCAGAATAATCGCCAACCTACATTAGTGCTTTTGTAATTAAAATATGAGACTTAGTGACATGCCACACAAATACTCTGACATGTAATTTGGCCATTACATACAAGCCAGAATCCTTTTGCTGACTTTTGCCAGCTTAATGCTCTGGCTTTTGGAGTTGCGCACATTGGCAGGGGGCGGAGAGGAAACTATCTTCGTTGCCATAGGAAGCTGCCCTGCCAGCTATTGAGCAGCTTAAGATCAAATAGGTTAAGCTTGCTCTCTTGACAGACATTGCTTCCTAAGCCAGTCAACCTCCATTGCATTTTACCCCTCCCACTGCACTATTGCTACATAGTCACTGCCATCTATGCCAGTGGAATTACGTTGCCCCGCAGTCATCATATTGGTGCCATATAACTTCTACTCAGACTGCATTCTGCGGCCTCGGTCTATGCAACACATTGTTTGACTTTCAAAAACTCATTGTCTCTTATCTGACATCAATAACTGGGGGTACTTGCAGAAGAAGTTTGCAGGATGGATGAGAAACACCTGCAGTCCATATTGAGTCCGTGAACCCACAGTTTCTTATCCCATCCCACAAAGAACCACATTACCTTTTTAGTTGGCATACTGTGATATGCTTCGTGGATGTCTCACATGAATTATAGTATTTCTGTGAAGCAATTGTGCTGGATTTCAGACCAGTAAAGAAACATCCATGCTTCAAATGTTGTAGCACTTTCCTCTAAGGCTGATAAGTACCATAGACACGGAATGAATGCCCTCAGGGCTCCACTTGGATGTACAGCTGTAAAACATGTTGCCACTCTGCCACAAACCTAGGGAGACCCTACAGTGCCATCTAAGTTGAGGTCAATGTGAAGGTGAATTAATTCTCTTCTAAAAGCTGTGTGTTACCATAAATGTTGTTCTTTCACAGACTCTCTGGAGATTGGCAGTGAAAGTGAAGAAGAGGAGGAAGAGGAGGAGGAAGAATATGAACCAGGGAGCCATGATCTTGGAGCAGAGATTGTGAGTCTAAATTTGAATTTCGCTGGAGCAGAAATTCACTCTCAAGTCTAAAAGAGCCTTGTGATCACTGCATCAACAGATACTTCTAATTTATAAAATAAAAAACCCACTGTTAATAATGGCATAACAAATAACCGTTGGATAATGTTAAATGCCTATTTTATATTTATATTTTATATAGCCCCTTGTTTAGGGGGTACATAGGGACCATGAACGTCTCCTAGTCCCCAGCTACTGCGCAGCAGCTGCTCTGGTTGATGGTGATCTGTTTCCCCTGTATCTGGGGAAGCAGCTGATCGACAGCCTGAGCCAGCCCCTTTGTTGCATGAGGGGGATCTTGCTTCTGCCTGTCACACTAGTGATCAGAGATCACTTATAGGAGGGAATAGGGTTATCAAATAACTCTTCCTGATCAACCGGAATAGACCCCTAATTGACCAGAGCACCTGCTGCCTGGTAAGCAGGAACTGGGGAGACTGAGAGCCACTTCTTAGCACCATAACTACTATGTTTATGCATTTGTCACTCCCCAATAGGATTCTGGCCATCATTTTTAAGAAATCTTCCTTCCTTCCTTCCTTCTTAGCATTAGTACAGGCACCTTTGAACCCAATAATAATAATAATAATAATAATAATAATAATAATAATACTTTATTTATACCCCAACACCATCTCCCCAATGGGGCCACCATCTCCCCACCATCTCCCCTTCCAGTTTTTTTTCCTCTCCCATTATATCTGAAGCATTCTTCTTTTTCTGTTTTTCTGGTAATTTACTTCAGTTAAGACAGTGGTTCTCAACCTATGGGTCCCCAGATGTTTTGGCCTTCAACTCCCAGAAATCCTAACAGCAAGTAAACTGGCTGGGATTTCTGGGAGTTGTGGACCAAAACACCTGGGGACCCACAGGTTGAGAACCAATGAGTTAAGGGATTTCACAAGCCAAGGAATGATGTGGTGTGGCTAGCTGGAGAGTGGATGAGCTCCCTCTGTCAGCTCCAGCTCTCCGTGTGTGGACATGAGAGAAGCCTCCCACAAGGATGGTAAAACATCCAGGTGTCCCCTAGGCAACGCCTTTGCAGATGGCCAATTCTCTCACACCAGAAGCGACTTGCAGTTTCTCAAGTCACTTCTGACACACACACACAAATGAAAGCTGATACCCATCCCTTCGGCATCTTAGTGGATAACAGCAGTGCTGGAGTTTGCCCTCCCCATTCCCACACTTTTGTTTGTCTGTTGATTTCCCAGAAGGATCTGGCATAACACAAATGGGGGGCGGTATTGATATTCTCCCAGAGGGGCTAAAAATAAGGCAGAAAGAGGGCAGGCTGCAGTTGGGCTGTGGACCCACAGGAACAAAAAGCATGTGTGTACTAAAGGATGACTAACAAGACTCTGGCAAAGCCTTATAGACAGCAATCTCCACTGTAAATCCAAGGAACACCCTGTCTGCTTTACAAATTGGAGGTTGAGTCAGTCAGTCCCTTAAGATTCTTACAGCTGCGGGGTAGTCTAGCCCCCAGGAGTCAGTCTTTACTCATACAAGCCTCATTGTTTTCCCACTGGATATCTACTCTAGAGGGATTGGGAGAAGGGTGAATGCTTTTTATAGCTGTGTGCAAGTAGTGAGGCTATAACCTGAACAGCCCCAAAGTTTGCTCCATTTTAAAAAGTTAGCATTCATTTAAAAATATTGTTGCTTTTTATTATTGCATTTTAAGAGACCTTTAGGGTAGGTCATCAGTAATTGCCTTTGAAGATTAGTACATGTTATTATAAGATGAATTAAGCCTATGTTACCTGAGTATACAAGAAATGTAAAATGATAACAATATGCTTATTAGAAGAAGTTGAGCAAGAGAAAATATATTTCCAATATCTGGGGGGGGGGGGGTCCTTTCCCTTTCCCTCTCCCTCTCCCTCCCTCTCCCCTTCCTCTTTTATAATTTGTTGACTTCTTGTTAATGTAATTCATTTTCGGGYTGTTTTTGATACATGTATATGTTTGTATGTATTATTCTGTATGTGTGCATGCATTATAAAATTGTTCCTTTTGTAGATATATTTTTTAAAGTAGATATTGTTATTGGCTTCTTATTGTTGCTGCAGTTTGGTAACTTGACTGAAGAGGGACAATATCCAACATGGAAAAAGACTTTGATACGACGAGCCCGAGATGCACAAATGAAGAGGTTTTGCAAAGCTCAGGTAAACACTTAAGACTGAAACAGCAGAAGGGCACATTACAAAATATAGCTGCTCCTGCTCAGCTTTAAGAAGGGGATAGCCAGTTTTTTTAAACACATGTGGCAACTTTTACTTCTGAGGTCATGAAATGTCCAGTTCCAAGTCTTGATATCACCCCGATCCTGGTTTTAATGTGATATGCACAGCCGTGTTCTCCTGGCCTTGTTTTGGAGCCCTGAAAGGATCCTATATAGCAGACATGGGCAAATTGGGCGTCATACCAACCCCAAAGCACATGCCCTGAAGCCACCAGAACCCACAGACCCAGTTGTCTTTTAAAGTACTGATTTTCAGCTTTAATTAAGACTAATCCCTTGATCATCCCCGCTAAAGGCTGCAAATGGTATCATTTACTTTCTTCACCTCCGCAGAGCTTCCTAGTGCCATAAAACCCAGAAAAAAAAGTAACTATCCCCCTATTAAAGCTGAGGTGGGGGATAGTTACTTCTGCCCTCTCTTCAATTGCACACTCTTTCTGAACAGGTCTCTCACAAAGTCTTTTCCCCATTTCTCTAGGCCACCATATATTTTATTTACTTGTCTCTCACTGTTGCTGATATTTCTGTATTTTGCCACCAAAGACATGACATTTTAAACTCGTCACTCCACTCCATTTGCTAAATAAGTAAACCATTGACTGCTATCCCAGCCCTGTAAGAGCCCTGTCTGTCCCAGCAGGCACCCCCCCCCCTTTGCAGCCAAAGTGAGAGTCTTCCTATTTTCAATATCCTCCTTAGCCTTGACTAACTCTTGATCTCTTGGGCTTTGCAGTCAATCCAGAGGCGGCTAGAAGAAATTGAAGTGACTTTCCGCGACCTTGAGAAACAGGGGGTCAAACTGGAACGTTATTTACGGGAAGCGGCAGGTGAGAGATTGGGCCACCTCCAAGACATATAGAAATGAGGCAGTATCTTATGGACAATAGCTAGCAAGAAGCTAAAACTGCTTTGTATTTCAGCTCTGTTAGAATAATTTCTCACCTCCTTTATCCTCCAGGAACAGAGTCTGAACTGAAGAGGGCATGGATGAGCCAGTTGCTCTCACTGGTCCAAAAGAAGAACAGCCTGATGTGTGAAGAGTCTGACCTCATGATTGCGTAAGAAGCTGATAGATCCTACCATTTCTGACCTAATACTCCATAGAGGGATTGGCCCAGCCCAACAGCAGCTTACTGGGTTAGAGGGCAATTCTCAGGAATCCTAGAATGTCTTAGGGGAAAGTACAACCCATAGGCTGCATATGACCTCCTATGGCCTTTTTTGTGCCCCTGAGCTTTTTTTAAAAAATACCCACTATGTCCTGTTGGGGAGGATATGGGGAAAATGCTACTTTAATTGCCTCTCCTCCCCATGCTGTTAATGTCCAGGAGAAGCCCTTTTTTAAAAAAAATATAGGCATGCTTTCTGATTGCTTACTGTTAAGAAAAATGCCTCTATATTGGGTCTGGAAACTGGGCTAATGCTGTCTGTGAGCAAGCCTTGAAATATCCTTCAGCTTCTTTTGTGATGCCTCCCATAGCATCCCATACAAGTATACTGTTTTTAATGTCATATAATGATCCTTTTCCTAAACCAGAAAAGCCATCCTGTTGAATAGTGTACAAACACATTCACCATACCAAATAGCAAACATAATGGGAGTGCGAAAGGTTGGGGTTTAATAGTGGTATATAATCCTTTCTAAGGAGCTCCCAATGGCACAGCGAGTTAAACCACTGAGCTGCTGAACGAAAGGTTGGTGGTTCAATCCAGGGAGCGGTTTGAACTCCCACTTTCAGCACCAGCTTCTGCTAACCTAGCAGTTCGAAACCTTGCAAATGTGAGTAGATCAATAGGTACCGCTCAGGCGGGAAGGTAATGTCACTCCATGCAGTCATGGAGTCCACATGACCTTGGAGGCATCTGCAGACAATGCCAGCTCTTTGGCTTAGAAATGGAGATGAGCACCATTCCCCAGAGTCAGACACAACTAATGTCAAGGGGAACCTGATCCTCTCTTTTCAGTGCATTGCTCTCATCTTGTTTCTTTTAATCAGTTTTTAACAGCTTTCATTTGGTCAATTTTAGATAGTTGAGTTTTTAGAAATAAAATCATGTATCCATAGACTGTCATGGGTTATTTCATGAAGCTAAAATGATTAATTTTACAATACTATTACAGCAGGCAGTATGTACCAACACTGGGAACTCTTTGAATTAACCCAAGCAGCCTATGGATACGTATCTGCCATTGGACCAACCCTAATGGCTGGAATCATGTTGGTTAGTCTCAAAAAGAGCAGATCAATTGAATCAATTCTGGAATGGTGTCAACATATAGGAAATCCTATTGATTTAGTCGTTCTGCTCTAATTGTGAGAAATACTAGGATTTTGTCCAATGTAGAAAATCTTGCTTACTGCTGTATAAGAAACATTTCTCCTGTCCTATCCTGTGTTTAGTGAAGATTCACTAAATAGTGCAAGTATCTGTTACCACAAGGAACACATGCAGTGTCTCTGGAGTCTCCCTGACTGGAGTCAGGTACAGCACACATAACTAATTCATGACTGCTGTCACTCCTGCCTTCTAGCTCTTCCTCATTAAGTTTTAGCTTATAAGGCTACTTGAGCTCATAGTGTAGAGAGAATAGCTAGTCACCAAAAGGAAATGAATGGAGAGGCCTCACAGGGGAGGGCATCCCTTGTGCTTCATGAGTTTCAGATACCCAAGCAGTTCTCAATTCTCATTTCTTTTGCCTCCTAGGGTGCAAGAGCTGAAGCTAGAAGAGCAGCAATGCCAGTTGGACCAAGAACTACGCCGGTACTATAATATGGATGGTAAGAATTAGTCCACAGTTCTGCTGAGGCATAAATAAATACTAAGCATAGTCAAGGGGCATGCGAAACATTACAAGTTTTTTTGTGAACAGAGCAAATTAAACTCAGAAGGTTTCTTGGTTGATTGTGTTGGCATGACTCCCAGTTTTAGAGTAAATCAAGCCCAACCTCTTGCACAACATGATGAAACAGCCATACTTTGAATGTATCATATGATGAGAAAGATAATAATGCTTGGCAAGGTGGAAGACAGTGGAAAAGGAGGAAGGATGCATTGGAAGTGGAGAGTTAAGAAAGCCACATCCTTGAGTGTGCATGACCTTAGTAGCGCTGTAAGTGACATGATGTCTTGGGACATGTCTCATTCATCCACCACCAAGTTGAAGCCGACTTCCCACCTAACCACTGTTGTGCATCTGGGGAACTAATAGCAGCCTTCAATCTCAACTCCAGAGAGAGGGGAAAGTTTGATTCTTCTCCAGGTGCTCAAAGGATAGCTACTCTGATTACATTTAGTCAGTGTTTCCTACCATGGTGCTACCTTTCCAGCTAAATGGCAGCTGGGCAGTCCCAGTGAGTGTGGGAGCAGAGCTGCACCCAAAAGCTTCCAGTTACCCTGATTATCTGGATAGCTACACTGGTTATTTTCCATCAGTGTTTTCTACCATTGCACGGTGCTGGGTCTGAATGCTCCTATGAGGCAAGAGGATATGCTGATGGAACTATTGCTGCTGGCAGGGCCTCTCAGGCCCAGAGGGTTTTATTGAGGAGCCAGATTAAGGTTGCAATCCTTTGTGATCCAACCATAGAAATTCTGCACTGAATTGTAGCTGGAAATTTACCAACCTCTACTGCAGAGTTGCTACAATCCCTCATACTATTCTTTGCCTGGCAAGAGCAGTGGAGCATAGCCAGATGCTTCTTTGATGTCGATCTCAATCCCGGCATGGATGGGCTGCAGGGATGGAGGAGGGAGTACCTACCTGCATATTGACTATAAAGAGCCATATGCTGGCATAAGATTAACTCCCGCAGATGCAATTAATAAGGTGCCCCTTCAATATGATGTATAAAACTATTGTGCAACAGCAGTAGCATGGTGTTTGCATGTGACACTGGTGGATACAGGCAGTGGCCCATCAGGACTGTGAAGACAGAAGCAATGGTAAACCACTTTCTTTTACAGTGAAAATCCTATGATGAGACAGTGGTGCTGCTTGGTTTTGCACAAGATCTGCTGCCCACTTAAGACCACCTCTTTATTCTATTAAAAATGGTATAACTGACTAACATAACTGGTTTATGCACTGCACCCGATAGCTACCTGGAATAGCAACTGAGATGTCAGTTTTAGCTAGTTCAGTTTGTTCAGTACACAAGGCTGTAATTCTGGGAAGCTTCATTTAAAGTCATGTTAGCTTACCTAGGTTCACTTTGCCCAACTTTATAGGAGTGCATTTGTCTAATTGTGATAAAAGCACAGGCTTGGCATCTCTGCTCCAAGTGGGTTATAAGTGATGGACATAATCTGAAGGGACCCTTTAATGTTTGGATAAAAGCCATTGATATCCAAGTGGAAATCCTTGGCAGCATTTTAAAGAACATTCAGTCAAATGTGCTAAAGCTTCTCTTCAAATCTACCCCATCAAAATTGGGGATGGGGGATATTGTCAGGTCCAAGTATAGAATGCCTACAGAACAATCTCTTAGTTAAATACTTCAACTGTAGTAGGTAATTGAAACACTCACCTTTCTGTTAACAGCAATGGTAGTGAATGTCTGGCCCTCCAGATCTTGAATTGCAGTTCCCATCGGTCCCAGCTAATATAGGCTGGGATGATGGAAATTGTAATATAAAATATCTGGAGAGCTATCAGTTGTTGGCTTTTGCTTTGCAACATTATTTGACAGCATCCCACTTTAAGCTGTGTTGTGAACATGTTCTTTTTTAAAAACAAAAACAAAACAGAGTCTTCCAAAACTTGTGAGGACCAACGGGCAGAAAAGAAGATCCTGTCTCAACTGCTGGAGGTTGTGAATCAGCGCAGTGCCCTAATCGAGATGCAGGAGAACAAGCGTCTCAGTGAACTTTCTGAGCATGGTCCAGTGCTGGGAAGCATCTGAAAATTTTAAGTCTGCTGGATTTAAGCCTTCTGAGACAAGAGGACCTTCTCTTTGTACTGAAGTTCTTTTGGTGCATACAAGAAAACAAGCTCCTCTTTAACAAAAAGTAGTCTTAAGAAGCAACTTTGCTGCCACAGGAACAGAAGAACTGTACAGATACTGTTCGAACTGTCACTGAAGCCAGGCCCAAAATGCAATACTGCTGCAGTACATTGTAATCAGCACTCCTGCCAATATATCTATTGCATTCGATTATTATCCCAGATCACATGGGCAAGGTTCATGTGGAGTTTATTTTATTTATTACATACCACTTACTACCTGAATTTTATTGGGCTGATAAATACAACAGAATCTAAAGCCATGAAATAAGACGTATTTTCTATCCTCAGATCATTACTTGATAGCCATTCTTTGGCATCAGAAGAGCAATCTGGACTGTAACATTGCTCCAGGTACCAAGTTGGCATGTTTCACCATGTACTAAGACAGGAAATGCGATTTATTCTGCCAATAAATACATTTTATTACATTGGGTCTGATGACCAAAATCAGTGTAATGAAGGTATTTTAAAAACAAATGCCAGTGGAGAAGTGATGGGAAAGTTTTATGTATTTTAGTAGTAGTCTCCATGCCCTTCTTAGCCACCATTTTTTTCTACAATGTTTGTGACTCCTGTGTGCTAAATTGTGCTGTTGTCCTGTACCTTTGAAGATGGCAGAAGGGCCTCAGTTCATGGGTTGGCAATATACAATAGCTCCCTGTTTCCTTTTGTCAAAGCTCTTCCCAGTGACGGCAATGCAATGCTGCCCCCCTCCACAGCAGGTTTGTAGGATTCTTGTTATGAGTACAACAGGCCCTCCACATCTGCTGAGGTTGGTGGTGCAGGGCCTTTGTACTGTTTTTTAAACTTGAGAAAACACTTAAAGAATCTCTAGGTCCGTCCGTGTGACAAGTTGTGCTGGAGGACCTCTAGATTCCTAGAGAAGTATTTTGTCTAGTATTTAATTGTCCTAGCACAACTCTATGGTCAACTTCAGGTAGGGGCTGCTCATAGTCACACTGGAGGAGCTAAAGATTCCTAGAAATCATATTAATCAAACCCGCAAAAGTTAAATCTGCAAATGTGAAGGACTGACGTACTGCTGTCTACCCTTCCTCTGCTAAGCTACCCAGAGATACATCCCGGTAGAAAACTAGAGGGGAGCAGCACCAAAAGAGCATAGAAACGGAAAGGTTTTGAAATAACATTACAGCTCCAAGAATCTCCAGGCTTGCATGCCCAAAATTTAATGGTTAAAACATCAATACAGTGGAATGGCCTAGGCCTGGGAAATCCCCTTATTATTCAACTCCTAAACATTTTGCATTGTGTATGCTTGTAATAGAAGTTATAAAGCCATACAAGTGTGGCTTAAATGTGATATCCCTGTAATGGTAGCACAGCCATAAGAGAAGCCGTATTAACTATGCAGAAGTGTGCATTTACCTCACAATAAACTGCTCCTGCAGAGAAGCTGCTGTTTATTTGTTACATAATCACACACAAGCTCCCCTCCTAATTAAAAAGAAAATGCTTTATGATGTAATCAGAAGGTGCCTGAATTAGTACAAACAGCTGTCCTTTTTACACAGTTCCTGTATCAATAAAGGCGCATGGAGTAAACAGGAAGTGGTGTTGTCTTTTCTTATTTCCTTTCATTTTGCAACAGAGGAACTAACCCCAAACATTGTTTCCTTGGTCTCTGTCAAGCCTTTGAGAACCCTAATGTCTATGCTGACCAACTCTCTACGTCTCAGAATTGAGCAAATCATTCCTGAGCAGTTCCCTATTTACAAGATTCTCTAGACTGATCATTTGCTTGTTAGGAAAGTGTGAAGTGGCCCTCTAGAAATGGCAATTCATCTTTTTTAAAGGCATGCAAACACCAGTAGTATTTCACAAATAAAAAATACAATTTTTTCAAAAATTAATGGAGTCCAAGTCACTTTTACTCGCAGGGGTAAGAATTTGACCCATTAAACCAGCTCAATGTTTGCTGTTATTTGTTCAGTCACTTCCGACTCTTTGTGACCTCATGGACCAGCCCACGCCAGAGCTCCCTGTCAGTCGTCACCACTCCCAGCCTTCAGAGTCAAGCCAGTCACTTAAGGATACCATCCATTTTTTCCCTTCCATTTTCTCCAGCTTTCTTGGTAAGAATGCTGGGGTGGGTTGTCATTACCATCCCCATGGATCGCGTTTGGTCTGACCCTTCTGCCATGACCCTTCATGGTTTCACTCGTGGCATCATTGAGGTGCTCAAGCTTCAGCGCTGTGACAAGGCAGCGATCCTTTGCTGGAGAGCTCAATGTTAGGATGCTGAAAATTTGGCAACAGTAAATGGTTTCTGAATGTCATCTAGTACCTGATTTAGACATTTGCACAAATCTATTGTGCAGATTTAAAAACAAAAAACATTTTAGGTGGGGTAAGGGCTAAGGAGGAATAGAAAGGAGACCAGGAAGACATGGAGCCATGGGTTGCTTTTTCACACCTGCCTTAGAATAAGTCAGGCTGGACTTTGCTAAATACCACAACACTGCAATACTAGTTTGTCGTTTATTCGTTCAGTCGCTTCCGACTCTTCAAGAGTAGTGTTCACATCCAATTAACTAAATCAACATATAGCTGAATCTTTCATTCTTATTTTATACCCACAAAACCTTCTGGTAGGAAAAAGACCACAGAAACAAATGAGATGGTCAGTGTTGCCTCAAATCTATCACCACTGATGATGACTCAGGTTGTAGACTAAGAGTTACTTTGCACATGTATGTAGTTGTCATGTCTCATGTTGTAAATAAAAGTGTGGTGACCTGATAGGCGTTACTTTCAGTACAATCCCAGTGCTTTATAAAAGTGTTGCAAGGAAAAGAAGGCTTCTGATGAGAAGAACTTTGTACATTAAAGATCATTGATAACTGTTTCCAGAACAAGATTTCATTAAAAAAAGCAATTTTCTGCAAGATAAGATTTCTAGAAAGATAAATTTATTCTGGTCAAAAGAATTCCAAAAAAGTATCTGTGTAGAACTTGTGAGAGCATTTATTATAATACATTTATATCATCTTTTGCAGTACTACATTGTCTGAATCTGTTTGCATTTTATGCAGCTCGAGCAGCATAACTTCTTTAAAAAATTAAAATGCTGCTCTCTCTATGCAGTATTTCAGTTCCATGTCATTCCCATTTTACCTTCAAAATTCTGTTTTTTACAATATGGTTTTTAAAATAATTTATTCAATGGAAAGATAGACCCATCCATAGAAAGTGTTACTGTCCTTAAAAAATGTCTAAAAACCCTTTACAGTATCAAATGCTAGTTTACATACTTTACTACTTCCGCTGACAACACAGCAGAAAATGGAAGATGTTCTGCTCACACATTTGCCAAAAGGTCTCTTGGTCCCTATCACAGCTTCAGGAACAAAAGGTTTCATCCCAAGCTCAGCTTGTCCTGGAGAGTCTGCAGCCCCAGCCGCATTTCCTCCTCTGTCCCTTGCAGCATCCTCACTTCAATGGTGTGGAAGAGATACAGTACAGCTGAGATGAGTAAGACCAACACAGCCAGCAGGCTAAGCAGGGAGAAGGAGAACTTGGGGAAGGGCTGCTGTGGGTTTCCACCCAAGATGGAAGTCAGGCCCATGGCTCCTTGGATGAGCAGCAGCAGCAGAGCCAGGACAGCCATGCGGCCGCAGGAATATCGCTGGCGTTCTGCTGAGTGAAGCCCCACCCGCACTTCCATTCGTGCTTCGTTCAAGATGTCCACCATTGTTGGCTCTTTAAAAAAAAGAAAGACAAGGAAGAAAAAGAGGCGGAACTCAACAATAATGTATACTGAAGCCAATCAACCACAAATGATGGAAGTTTAGGCGTGGATATCTATAGACTCAAATGCTAATTTATCCAAAGAGAGCTTCAACAGAAAAGTCATGGCCCTGACATTTTTCACTTTCTAAAGGTGTGCAAGTGAGCAGTTGTGGAAGGTTAAGGGATGACATTTGACCCCAGCAAATCTTGGAGAGCTGCATTCATCTCTTCTGTTCCAGCAAAAAAGCCCCCAAACTGCTCCCAAATCCCACTGGATATATGGCCACATTCTCACTGTGCTTTGGGTTGTTTTTTCAACAGCAGGAAATGAGCACACAATGCTTCCTGTCTCAAAGATGACATCAAAACATAGTAAAAATGCCCTCCATCCCTGGGGCCAGGAAATTTGGCATCAAAACATTTTTTAACCGCTTGGAAGCACAGTGGGCCTTTTAATGGCCTTAGAGGCCATTTAGGGGATATTCTGGAACAAAACATGCTTTTTGTACCCCAGAAAACTGTAAATTATAATAATAAAATTAGCTCTGGAGGCCCATGGGTCATACTTTCTCTACTCCTGCTCTAAGGAGAAAAACATGTTCTGAAGAAGCTTGTTAAGAATTAAAAGAGGGGGGGGGGAACCCTACAGTTATTGAGGCTAGGTAGCAACCCAGACTAAAGCTTGAGCACTCACCAACTGCAGGATGGTTTGATACTTCATCTGATTGTTTTTTAGCCACAGACAGGTTGACCATGACAGCTTCATGGTCAGAGTAAGGAATGTCCTTGTTGGGAGCCTTCCCGGTTGTAGTTTCATGGCTATTGCACCTTATTTCATATTGAGATAATGCCTACAAGAAGGCGGGCAGGGTGGAAAGTTACTCTTTAGTCAATATTTTGTAAAAACAAAGAGAATTGCTTATAGAATGTCTACATTTAGAAGGTGAACTGTAAGTGAAAAATGTAGGAGGGCAAGAATGGAGTCTATTGCCAATAAACATGCCTAGACAAAAGGACGTATTGTAGATAAATGTCTTTAAAAGTCAGCAACAAGAACAACAAGAATGCGGTACTATCTCTCCATTTTAAACTGACGATGCTGAGAGACAAACTTGTTAAGTGCTTAGGGTCACAAAATCAGAGAGTCTTTATTGCCCTCTAGCTTCCTGAACTGTGTACATTACTTAGCCCAATCACTTTTTCTAGTGTCTTGAATTTGCACATACCTTATAAAGAATGTAGTCAATACGAATTCCTTGGGGGAAACACTGTAGTTCCTTCTTGTTTGTGAAGCAGTTGGATGGCACCAGAGTACAGCCATCTTCACAACCCTGATAGCAAAATCAATCCTGATTAGCACAAATTCAGAGCACCATAGGGTACTCCCCAAACTTTATCAGAGGGAGAGAAGGGACCAGCATTCATTCCCATTTCTTGCTAGTTTCATAAACTGACACCGAGATACTCACCTTAACCTTTTCTGCTGTGATGAAGGAGTCCTGCAGCCCAACCCAACCTTGCAACAGCCGAACGACAACATCCTCTGGGTGCATATTGAGATCTCCTCCAAGCAGAACCACATCGGCTCCTTTGCAAGTATGTCTGGGAAGACAGGACAATGTCACAAAAAGGAGGAAGGGAGCAAACAGCCCTTTTGTAAGGATGTTTTCTTCCAAGAGCAATATAGATGCTACTCGACAGGAATTCTTCCATTCCCTGATCCATACCTCTCTCATGGGAGAATAATAATAATATTATAATAATAATAAAAACTTTATTTATATTCCGCCCTATCTCCCTGGATGGACTCAGGGTGGATTTCAAACATAAAAGGCAAACATTCAATGCCCCCAAAAAACCCCAATACACCTATAATAATGAAAAACTGACAACCCAACATATAAAAACAAATTATGCCTTAACAACTAAAATTAAATAAAAAACGCAACCTGTCAAATCAGACATAGGATAAAAACGGCTTCAAAACGGAAGCTGGCATTAAATTAATTCCAAATCAAAGCCTTCGGCCACTGCTTTATGAGTGACCTAGTTAAGGGGAAAACTGACAAGTGGTATCGTGTATATATACAGTAACTGCACTTCTACTACAGCACAAATCTTAACAATATAATTTTTAAGTTTCTCACCCTTACCTACTTGGCCTAAAGGAACCAAATCACATCTGGTCTTGAAAGGTAAGGTGGGCCAGTTCTGGATAGGAGACCACAAAAGTACACCAGATGCTGCAGGTTATATTTCAGAGGAGGTAACTTGCAGAACCACCTCTGAGTATTCCTTGTCTAAAAAACCCTATGAGATTCATGAGGTCGCAAAGGTTAAGAGGCACCTTGAATGCACATAAATACACACACCATGACTTACTGTATAAACTGGCCAAGTTCCCAGGCCTGAACCACTCGATGAGACAGGTAATAATCCTTTTCCCGAGAGTATTCTGCATGGAGCTGGAGTGGAATCAGAGAACAAACATTAATTCACACGTATTGATTATAGAACTAAAATGCAAAAACTTCTGACCCACTCTGTAACTGATTTGGAATCTTGTGTTCACGTTCAAACCAGGGCAATAAAGCAAAAAAGAGGCAATGGCTGTTAACTGGTTTCTCTGTAAGCATCTCAAGATAAAATAATAGCATAGATGAAAATAAATAATAACTGTTAGACATATTCACATTGGTAAGATATGGGGAACAAGAGAGAAAACTCAAAAATATTTGCTTTTGTTTATGTTTAAATACTTTTTTCTTTTAAGAATGCATCATCAAAAAAGTCTCGAGAAACTAATATTCGCCCTCTGCTGGTAAGCAGTTGGCAAAACCTATCAATTGCAATTTAGCACCCTTTAGGAAAACGCAAGCAGTCAAAATTGCTGGATCCATTTAACTATTGCAAAAGAAACTGCTATCCTAAACTCACCGTATAATACTCTTCACATCTAGAGTTTCCACCCCATTGTATAATTTTAGTTTAGGTATCACTATATCCTTCTGGGAATTAGAAAAGTTGCTTACATATAAACCCAAATAAATAAACAGACTTACATGTGTTACATAGATATTGAAAACAATTCCTTCAATCTTTAGTACCACCAGCCCCACAGACTTGCCACCAAACCAATCTCCATGTTGGAACTGTCAACAGGAAAGAGAGAAGTGTACAGTGAAACCTTGACGGAACAATAACAAAAGAAAGATCAACTTTTAAATGATAGAAGCACAAAGTACAAAATTGTGGCAAGGAAGTACAAAGTATAAAGCAAAGAGGCAGAAGCATCATTTTTTTCATAGTGTACTCATTCCAGCCTCCCTCCCTTTCTTGCTCTTTCTCCCTCTCTCTTCATAAAGTCAAACATACTAGGAATAAAAACGACACAAAATCAACTAACCCTAAGTTCCTCAAAGTGGACAAGAGCAAAGCAGAGAGCAATCTCCCAAGGCAGACAAGTGCATGAGGCACAGAGGCTACTCCCTTGAAGCCCTAAAGCCCTGTACTCTCACAGAAGTGTCCCGTCTAGCGACAGCTCTTAATTCAGAATGCACTTAAGTTGGGACGCCCTTAATTAGAGGATACACAGTATAAGAGACTCGGGTAAAGCTGGTCATAAAGCATAATTACAAAAAGGTGCCCCTGGCTCTCTTCCCAAGGAAAGCAGTATTTACTCACCATGTAGGGATAGCCATTTACAGAATATTGGTGCTGGAAGGTATCCAGTATTTGGTGTTTGGAGAAGACACAGGCCCCGCTGCCAATCACTCCACTAGGAAACAGAGACACCACTGTCATCACAGAGCTACCAGCATAATCACTACTATTCTTACCACCTCACCACTCTACTTTTAACCACAACTGGAAGCCAATAACCAAGCTTTCTAAAGTATATCTCAGTGACCAACTCGTGCAAGTGTTTATAGAACTAGCATTTTCTGCCCTTTGGAATGACACCTAGGTCTAAAGAAAGGAGTATAAACCATTAGAGATAAACTGTGAAACAGGACAATGGAGCCAAGGATTATATGCCCATCAAAATATAAACAGGAATCGTTTATACCAGCCATTAGCAATATGGTCCCCCCAGATGTATGTCAATATTATATAGAGGCTAATTAGTTACAAGCTGAAAAAACTTCCTTTGCCCAGTCTGGCTGCTGGCTCTTAAAATGGGCTGGCGTTCACAGGGTTTTACAGTAAGGCTATTAATCTTACTCAATACAGAGCAGTAAGAACCCATAACTCTAGGTTATAAATCCATAGCTGCAATACCAAATGCCAGACACTGATTGCAACTCCAATGAGACCTAATTGGCATGGCGGGAGTTCTGGACCAAACATCTGGCATGAACCATGATGGAAAGGCTGCTAAAGATGTGAAACAATGTTTTTAACTATGTATGAACAAACACCCTCAATTATAAGGTATTTCTTAGAAACACTGACATCTATAGAAACTAACAAATATATTCATGGACTACTGCTTGCCCTGAAAGTCAGTCAGATGCATATACTTCTCTTCATCAGTTCTTTCCTCTTATTTTAGATTGTGGGAACTCCAGATTTATCAGCCATTTTTGCCTCCAGAAGCAGTAGCCTCCACTCAACTTCAAATAAGGGGCAGGAAGCTGGCTTCTCCCTTTTCTCTCATAGGTCCAAATCCAGTAAATCTGGTAGTCAAATGTATGGGTTAAAAATCCAAACTTCAAGGCTAATAGTCCCAACCAGAATAGATCCACTGAGTCAGGGAACGTAGTTCTGTTAACATAGAAGGCCTTCTTTGTCTCATCTTGCTAATCTGCCCAAAGCCGTTTAAGGTAAACTACTTACAGCCGGCACTTCTGCAGGCTCCCATCCCTGGTTGGGTGGACAAGAAAGTAAGAATCCAGGGTAATAAAGGAACACGTTCCATATTTATAAGGCTCTGCAGAAGAGCTATCCAAATCAGTTCTTCAATCAAGTGCAGTAAATGTATCTCGTCAGCTTTTGGGTTGGGAAACAAAGCTAGGAAAGCGTGAATTTCAAGAAGATGGCTTCAACATGTTCTGGCCAATTTCATACATTATAATCTGCTTGGTTCATAGATCTGGAAGTCTTTGGCATTCAAGGAGTCTTATGGGTGCAGGTTCTCCTCACCACTGATATTTGATAGTTTGAGAGAAATGGACCCTGAAAGGCGCTATTTACTGGCTTTTGAACCATGTTCTCACTTTGTCCCATGCTTACCTCCCACTTGTGAAAACCTGTAGACCAGCTTTATATCAAGTATATGCTGGAATGATTCCAACTCATGCCTCCAGCTGCAAACCAATGAGCTATATTTCAATTTAGCATGCAGTCTAATGTGTGATTAATTTCTCAGATGCAGGATAATTAGTCTGGTTCATATTCCACAAAGCATATCAGGAGTTGTCCTGGTACTTGTTGTCATCTATGTTCTTCAAATCATAGATTTCAGAGCTAAAAGGTTGCCCAAAGATCATCTAGTACCACCACATATCAGTGCAGTAATCAACAGTTCATGCATTACTAATAAGTAGCTACTTCAATTTTTTGCTTTAAAACTGCAAAGAAAGCTGTGTCTGCCATGTTCAAGCACTGTCCCTTTTCTTCTCCCATTACATTACAGTGTTTAATTTTGGTGTAAAAAGACCAATAAATCATATTAATGTCTATTGCTGTCCAAGCCAGGTGCCACATATCTTATATTTGCATATCTGATTTTTTTTTTTTTAGTCTAAATGTAGTACATGTCATGCATCACATCAACATTCCTTTTATTAGTTTTGGCCCATTTCTCCAATTTGTTGAAGTCATTCTATGAGATTTGAAAATACAGTCAGGCCTCCATATCCATGGGTTTGGCATCGACAGAATCAACCAACAATGGCTCAAAATATTTGAAAATAGATACCAAAAAGCAACCCTTGGTTTTTGCCAAGCTCCATGTTGATGTGTAGCCTCCTACCATTTCACAGATTCTCAGACTCTCTCGAGCACTCATTCAAGTTATTAAGCATTTTATATAACAAACACAATTTCCTGCACCACTGTATATAATAGGACCTGAGCATACACAGGGGGTCCTGGAACCAAACTCCAGCAGATATCAAAGGCTCATTGTCTAAGCAATAACTTAGCTATTCTTCCTGTTATATGGTGGAGAAAGGTTGCGTTCTCATTAGTGGTATGAGAACAGGACTAGAATTAGATCTGAAAGTGGAAACTCAGCTATTTTTCTACATCACATACAAACATTCTGCTACATCTGCTGACAAAGATATCTACAGTACAGTCTCACTTATCCAACATAAACGGGCCAGCAGAACATTGGATAAGCAAAAATGTTGGCTAATAAGGGGGATTAAGGAAAAGCCTATTAAATGTCAAATTGCGTTATGATTTTACAACTTAAGTAACACAACATCATGCTTTACAACAAACTGACAGAAAAGCAGTTCAATACACAGTAATGTTATGTAGTAATTACTGTATTTACAAATTTAGGACCAAAACATCTCAATGTATTGAAACAGCTGTGGATCCGGGAAGGAGTCAGACTGTGTTGGATAATTCAAAACACTGGATGAGCGAAAGTTGGATAAGCAATTCTCTACTGTACTTCCTCAAGAACCTGATGAACATTCATATGCATTTGCCTCATGGTTGGAGAAAATGAGCACAAAAGCTTCCAAGATATAAGGATACAGACCTTTAAAACACACTTTCAGGCTGCTTAATCAATCTGGCAAGTAAAAAATGATTAAGGGTTTAAAGATAATTAAAAAACAAAGGAAAATTATCTGTTGGAAAGATAAGGTATCCAACACAAGTGCAAGTGGAAATATTCCTATCACACTTTGCAAGGCTAATCTGTCCTCTACCCTAACTTATTAATTCAAAAGAAAATTGACAGGTGCTTTCCCACCAGTGCCCCATGCCTTCATAAAGCAGCAAATGGCAAGCATTCATTGTGACTAAGTGGTCAAAGCCCATGATCACACTTTAAAAACCACCTACGCTCCCTTTTTACCTTTTGAAATAATGGGAAGATGGGTAGCAGGTACACAGTTTCTTCTTCAATTCCCAATAATCTTTCTCACTCCACACCTAAAAAAGCAAAGTGAGTGTGATCACAATAATTTCAAACCAAAAGATAAGAGTAAGCAACTAGTTTAAGGGTAAGTCCCAGACTCTAGCTTCAGGTATCCTCTCCCTCAATAACACTGCTAGTGATCATTTTTCTATAAGACTGTTCAATATGCACAGAGCTCTAAGACTGAACAACAGCCTCCTAAACATACCATTGTTCCACAACAGGGTAGAGATTTGCCATAAACATCCAAGGGATCAATGGCCGATTTGAATTCCCACTTTCAAATCTAATAAATCTTTGTAGTCCTACTCACCTCTTGTAGAAGGACCAAGTCAAATCCTTCCTGGTTGAGAACATCACCAATCAATTCTACACGTTCGTGCCGTAATTTACTTACGTAGCGAATACCCCTGGAAGAGGTGGAAAAGAACACAGTGAAACTGAGGTCTCCCAAGATGATCACAGCCTACTACAATTCTCTTTTAATTTTATAAATATGGTAAAGAAACAAGCATCAGATTGAAGGCCAAAGTGAGTGTGAGTGAGAAATTTAATCTCAGTGCAAGCAGCACTATTAGTCTAGCCACAACAGAACTTCAAAAAGTTACTTTTGAGGTTACTTTTGAGGTTACAATCTCCCAGCATGAGAACTTCTGAGAGCTGCAGCCCAAAAAGGAACATTTCCAGGCTTTGGGCTGCAGTGCAGAGAGATAATGTTCCCATCTGCCGTAATGCCTTGATTAATTATCATTCCCAGCCGCTATTTCCACTTAAACACATAAAAACAAACACATGGTAAATGCAAAGCTAAGTATAATATTGTGTAGAATTTGGCTGCAAGGCACACCAAACAACTACAGGCAGTCTGTGTGGACACATCACAAGGTCAATTCACTTGAAGACTAAGCAAAACCTCCAAACATGGTATTTAGAGAAACATATTTGGCCCAGTTCAGAGAATCTCTGGAGGAGGCCTTGAGTAGTCAAGCCCCCTCCCAATAAATGCATTCTCTAACAGAAATTATAGAGAATACAGATTTGTATTCCACCATTGTGTGTTTACCTGCTCAGTGCTGAGAAAATATAGACTGCTGTGGAACATTTGGGTCAGATGTGCAATCTCCTCTCCAGGATCACACTCATGGAAAGACAATACTAATGATTTGCCACACACAGCAAGCCTTGACTGGGGCCCATAATGCTTCCAAGAAGCACCCCCACGAAGTCTTCCAACTTTAAAATAGTTTGGTTCTTTTCCCTGGCATGCTAAAACTAAGCCACTTAATGCTTAGTGTTAGGGCCTGGCATAATAAGGTATGCTGTAAAACAGGAAGAAAGAACAGATGTCATTTGCAGGGAGAGGCTAGGCTTGCCCCGCAGAAGCGGGGGGGGGGGGGGGGGGGGGGGGGACTACTTCCTCTTCTGCAGTTCAGAAACAACCCTTGTATCCAATAGCCTGCCTGAAACTGTGGATACTAGGGAACCTTATTATTTTCAGTGGGACAAATGACTTCTGGCCCAAGAATAACAGGGAATCACACTGTATGCCTAGAAATGCCTAGAGAGAACATATTTTTGGATATGGATAAGTAAATCCATGGATATAAGGCTGATACTGCATGTCTAAATTCAACCTGAATCATGTTTCATGGTTTGTGTATATTCGAAAGATAACTAGGAATTAGAAACTGTAACTCCTCAAATCAGCGGATTCCTCTCCTTCATCTGAAACACCCACCTCCTCAACAAATTGGCTTGTCATGCATACAAGCACAGAAATGAATGATACCAGCCTACTTAAGGCAGAGAGGAAAATGGGAGAAAGGACAGGGCATGGAGCTTCATTGTGCTTGATCTCACACTAAAGTGAAAAGCAAGGTTCAGTGTTATTCATAAAAGTCCAAGAGTTAACTGTGCTTTATGGACAAGACATTCTTCTAGGATCATAGGCCCCATCTTCACTGCCATATAATGCCATCTGAAACTTTCAAATGGCATTATATGGCAGTGCAGATGAGACCGTAGACTTCTGGCAGGCAACCCAAAACAGACCTGAATCATCACTAATTTATTCCACAATGAAGTTTATTACTCAAAATGCAACCAAACTTACCCAACCATTGAGTGTGCTTTTATAGACCATTATGTCTACCTATTTTATAACTAGCTTAATAGAATTGTTTTCTTTCCCCAAAAAAGATCAGGAAGATTCTTACACAGGTGCACTTCTGTAGCATGACACTGAATAATACCCCACCTCTGTTCTGTGACTGGTGCCATAATGCACATTCAATCGGCTCCATCAATGATCCAGGCAAAAAACTGAAACAAGGCAAAACCTGACTGTTTAACAGTATTACAAATAAACTACCAGGTCCCTATACTGATAAGGACTTATAGACTTCCTGGGATATAAAATTTTATCATTTTTACTTGCTAAGATGGTGAGATAGAAATAGGAATAAAGTACATGCTTGAATATTTCTGAACTAGCAGCAAAAAATCCACCAGGCTCAACAATAACTTGGTAACAAAACATCACAAATCTCTTAAGAGAATACTCTCCCCTCCCCATGCTACATATTGCATGCAGTTCATAGCTAGCATTGCCCCAAAAGTAAATGGTGAGATTTACCAGCAATTGAGATCAAAAATACGCAGCTGCAGCAGAGATGCCTTCTCCATCACTGCTGCGATGGGTTCAAACAGAAGTTCAACTGGACTCGAAACATGGAGAAGTTCTGTCTCTTGACAAACAGGAAGGTGTCTGGCTTTGGCTCTCCCTCTGCCAAGAGAACAGGGATTATGACTGCTGTACTGTAAATAAGACCTGTATACTGGCAGTTGTGAGCAAGGAGGGATGAAGGCGCTGGGGCAGTTGGTAGCACTGATTTAACTAGCTGCGTGTGCTCTTATGTACAAGGACAGGAGATGCTTCTCTCAGCTTAAACCCCGTGAGGCAGAATATGGAAATCCTTGATAGGAGGAAGAGGTGCAATGATGACCTGCAGCTTAGCAGGGTTATATAGCATTAAACCAACATTGACAGGTCAAATGAGGCACATCTTTTGCACTGCTCCTTACCAGTAAGTGCATTTCTTGGCAGTGACGAAGCTGTTGCTACCACTGCCATCCTATATTAGGAGATGTGGTATGGAACACAGAGGCATTAAACATATTTTAGATAACATTCAGTTCAATATTTGTTTGCTCAATTTCTTTAAATTGCAATTAGAAATTACTTAATTCACATAAAGAAAAATAAAATTATAAAAGAAATGTGGTCTGGGTAACTAGAGGTTCTTAAAATAAGTCTAAAGGTCTATAATTCTAAACATATTATTTAGGAAACAAGTTTCCATTAATTCACTATTAAATCTCTGTCATGGTTCTATATGACAGGAGGTTTCACTGGATTAAAGTATTTAAGCACTAGTCATATGAAAAGACATTTTATTAAAAATCAATAGAACAAGGGGTCTTAAACATGCTCAAGTTAGTCATGAGTTAATACTACAATTCTATGCACATGTACTCCAGCATATGTCACACTGTACAGGCAAATCCCAGAGTTTCAACCAACCAACTTATAAATGACTCATAGTTAAGAACAGGGGTGAGGCAACAGAAACTGAGAAATGTATCCTTCAGATGGGAAATTCACTCCTGAAGTGTTATCACGGGGGAAAAGGTGTCTCCACTGAGGCTTTATCAGCAATCATTGTTTCCACAACAACCCGTTTTTTTCAAAATCCAATCACAGGGGCAGAAAGTGAGGTGAAAGCTTCCAAACAGGGGCACAGACAGCAAAACAAACACCACAGGGGTGTTATCCCTTCCTTATGCTATCCAAAGCTTTCTATCTATCTGTCTGTCTCATAACTTGGGGACTGCCTGTATTCCATGATATTACAGAATAAGGTCGCAACTCCTATGCAGTGCTTACTGGGGGTAACATCTCACTTAACTGAAGAGGATTTACATTATTAATAACATATCCCACTGGTTTGATTGAAGTTATGAATAAGGAGGAAGGGGCCTGCTAGTCAGGTTTTAAAAGGCTGTAAAAAGCTCTTCAGAGGTTCTGTTATGTGAGGCGTCTCTGTGCAATCTACTCAATATAGATTGAGTAGAGATGCACAGTCAGAACTCCACATTTGTGGGGTTTTTTTTTTGTGCAGATTTGATTAAAATGCTATGGACACCTCCTCCAGTCTAACTCTACAATCAATTTTTGCAGGAGGTTGACCTCAGTCTCAGGTGGAGGACCTAGTGAGACCATATCTCTAGAAATCTCTATATCCCAAGTGTGAATCTATGAAGAGTATTCTATGAGTGATTCTATGAAGAGCCCGCAGTGGGTTAAACCCCTGTGCCAGCAGAACTGAAGACCGACAGGTTGCAGGTTTGAATCCGGGGAGAGGCGGATGAGCTCCCTCTATCAGCTCCAGCTCCTCATGCGTGGACATGAGAGAAGCCTCCCACAAAGATGATAAAAACATCAAATCATCCAGGAGTCCCCTGGGCAACGTCCTTACAGACGGCCAATACTCTCACACCAGAAGCGACTTGCAATTTCTCAAGTCGCTCCTGACCAAAAATAAAATAAAAATAAAATCCAATGGGTGCTGGGGGACCTAGAAATTCCTTTTTAAAATTATCCTTTAAAATTATTTTTTAAAGGTATTTATTCACTGCAGTTCTGCAAAATTATAACCCAAGAAAACATACCATAAATTAAAAACTAAATTCAGTTGGATTTACTTCCATGTATTCATGCATAGGATTGTCACCTGTCAAACTTGCAAATAATTTTAGATTCTTAGTTAACCATGGGGCTGGCAGATGTTGGATAAATGGATTTTCTGGTTGCTTGAGAGTTGCTATTAAAAGAAGTCCTAATACTACACCCTATACTACACCATATCATAAACATTGCATTGACTTGACATTGAAATACAGTAATTAAAAGCAAATTTAATGTAACACAGTTTTACGGTATCATATGTGTATTTTAATTTTTATTTAAAGCATTCTTTCTTTGGGTTTTTTTTTGTGGGGGGCGGGGGAGTTCCAGTTTCTTGATTTCCAGTTGAGTCTACTGTATATTGAGTAAGGTATCAATGCATATTTGTGATCAGTAATGGTACTCTTTAATTGCAGTCTCATCAAATAACACATGTACAATGAAATCAACCGTAAAATCTCTCAATTATCTTCATTTTTAAAAGCCCTCAAAAGTAATTCCTTAAAAACATTAATTCCAATTAATTTTAATCAACCACACATTTAAACAATACTTTAAAAATAAATAAAACAAAACTGAATATATAATACATCTTTTCTGAAATCACAGTAATAAACACTTGACAACTTCAAATTAGTCCCTTGAGTTGTATTTCATTAGGCAGATTCCCATTCAGGTTTTGTTTGTTCAGTATTATGCCTCCTGGGAAGGAAACATAATTAGGCTTCAGTCCCAAACGATTTTGAAAGGCTCCAGACATGCCAAGAGGGCACTTTGCACAGATACTGATCCATTATTTCAAATCATTGATTACTCAGAAGTCAATGCCATGGGGCACACTTCTTAGGAGGGCCCATTTGTACTACAAATTATACAATGTAACAAATTTGAAAAAAATGTTCCTGATCTGAAGTGTTATTGTTGCGGTATTGTGTGGTTCCTACTTTGAAACTATGTTGAAGTGGCTGAATCTCTCTGATATTCATTGAAAAACTATAGCAAAATGTGTGTAGAATGCCCCACAAAAACAAAGCTTTTGCAGTTTCATACAAATTTTCTGTGTTCTTATGATAGAATCAATTTCAAAATTATATTTATAACCCAGGAACAAAAATCGTGTCATATAGTGTTATAGAACTTTAACTGCCATTATTCCACTCTATAGAATCCTGGTATTTGTAATTTAGGAAGAGAAGTTTTGAATCCACGGTCAGTGCTCTAATACTTCCTCAAACTGTCAATCCAGGATTACAGAGGATGCATCACGGGAATTAAAGAATGGCTCTCAGGGTGCATCGACACCAGGCATATGTCGATTAATTCTACAGCAGACATGGGCAAACTTTCTAACTTGGGAGTCGCATGGTGGAATGGAGTGGGGCGGGCAGGCGGAGCACGGGGCAGGGGGTCTCCCCAAGTCTCTTCCCTGCCCTTTCCTCCTCTTCCTTTTCTCTTTCAGAGGTAGAAAATGAAGGAAAGAAGAGAAACTGTTTGAATCCCAAAAGGGTTAGCCTTCACCAGGATGAGATGGTGGACGGGAGAGAAAAGGTGTATCCATTAGATCCCATATTACCTACTCCTGATATATAATCCTAGAATCCTAGAGCTGAAAGAGACCTCCAAGGGCTATCCATTCCAACCCCCTGTCATGCAAGAAGGTGCAATCAAAGCATTCCCGATAGACAGCCTCTGCGGAAGAGCCTCCACCACACTTTGAGGTAGCCTATGCTACTCTCCAATAGCTCTTACTCTCATGAAGTTCTTCCTAATCTTTTCGGTCGAATCTCTTTCCCTGCCATTTGAAACCATTCCTCCCTTGTGCTCGGGTCTCTAGAGCAGCAGAAAGTCAGGATAGGATGGTGAGAGAGAGAAGGGCTTAAGAAAAGAGCTCAAGGGCCACATCTAGCCCCCGGGCCTGGGTTTGGCCATACCTGTTCTACAGTGTAGATGGGGCATGGGCAAACTTCAGCCCTCCAGGTGTTTTGGACTTCAACTCCCAAAATTCCTATCAGCCAGTACTTTTGGACTTCAACTCCCAGAATTCCCATTGGCTGTTAGGAATTGTGGGAGTTGAAGTCCAAAATACCTGGAGGGCCGAAGTTTGCCCATGCCTCACCTAGGGTAAAAGTAAAGGTTTTCCCTTGACATTAAGTCTAGTCATGCCCGATTCTGTGAGGTTGGTGCTCATCTCCATTTCTAAGCTGAAGAGCCAGTATTGTTCATAGACACCTCCAAGGTCATGTGGCCAACGTGACTGCATGGAACGCCGTTACCTTCCTGCAGAAGCAGTACCTATTGATCTACTCACATTTGCATGTTTCCGAACTCCTAATCATTACTCTGAAATCCTTGAAATCCTTACTCTGCAAAAATGTCACTGCATGAGCTTGATATGGTTATGCATTCTCAGCTTAACCCATCTCTCATAGGAACTGAAAGGTAAATGGGTAAGTGGGAAGATACTATGTACATTACTATAACCTAGAGGAAAGGTATAGTATCGGTGCATACTTCAGCAACCAGGCCAATTAGATTAGACGCAGATAATCAAGACGGTTTTAAACAGTGTATTTTTATGTTGAGACAAATGTTTTAATGTTTATGTATGCATATAATGAATTCATGTCCTGGCACTGAATGTTTGCCGTATATATGCTATGCTCCACCCTGAGTCCCCTTTGGGGTGAGAAGGGCAGAATATCAATGTTTTAAATAAATAAATAATAAATAAGTTGAAGTCTAAAATACCTGGAGGGCCAAAGTTTGCCTATGCCTCACCTAGGGTAAAGGTAAAGGGTTTCCCTTGACATTAAGTCTAGTCGTGCCCGACTCGGGTGTGGTGCTCATCTCCATTTCTAAGCCGAAGAGCCAGTGTTGTCCGTAGACACCTCCATGGTCATGTGGCCAGCATGACCGCATGGAGCACCGTTACCTTCCCGCCGGAGCAGTACCTACTGATCTACTCGCATTTGCATGTTTTCGAACTGTTAGGTTGGCAGAAGCTGGGGCTGACGGCGGAAGCTCACACCACTCCCAGGCTTCGAACCTGTGACCTTTCGGTCAACAAGCTCAGCAGCTTAGCGCTTTAACCCACTGCACCACTGGGGGCTCCTATGCCTCACCTACACTGTAGAATTAATCCAGTTTGAAACCAAGTGAACTGCCATGGCTCAAAACTATGGAACACAATTCAAAGTGCTGGTGTTAACCTATAAAGCCCTAAACGACTCCGGCCCAATTTACCTGTCCAAACGTATCCTCCCCTATGAACCATCAGGATTGCTAAGATCGTCTGGAGGGGCCCTGCTCTCAATCCCACGGACCACACAGGCGTGGCTGGTGGGGACGAGAGACAGGGCCTTCTTGGTGGTGGCCCCTTGACTCTGGAACTCCCTTCCACTGGAGATCAGAACTGCCCCTTCTATCTTAACGTTCAGGAAACAGGTGAAAACTTGGCTTTGGGGATTGGCATTCAACGAATGAGCCATGATCCTGTGATATGGATGGAGGACGACGAATAATGATTTTTGATGACGACTGACCACTGTAATTATATGATTGTATTTTGCTATTTTAATGTTTTAGTGTGATTTAGAATATGATGTTTTAATGACTGTATGTAATATTGATGTTGGAAACCGGCCTGAGTCCTTCGAATGGAGGTGAGAAGACCGGTATACAAAACTACCCAAATAAATAAATAAATAAATAAATTACTGTGAGTTTATTTGGTGAGGCTTCAGCACTCTTGGGCAAGGAAGGCCAAATACCTTTGAAAACTACAACTCCCATTGTTCCACAGAACCATGGCAGCTAAAAGTGGTGCCAAACCGACTCTGGGATCCTCTCTTCCACACAGGTGAATAAAACTCCCCATTTTCTACTTTGAACTGGAATATATGGCAGTGTGGACTCCGATAACCCAGTTCAGAGCAGATATTGTGGGATTTTTTTGCCTTGATTTTCTACGTTATATGGCTGTGTGGAAGGGTCACACTCTCTCAGCCTCAGAGGAAGTTGCCACTGAACAAATCCTGCCAAGGAAACCCCTTGAAGGCACAGCAAGAGCAGCAATGAAGTTCTCCAGGTGGCATTCCCTCCTACCTGCTTGGAGAAGATTCCCCCGGGGCGAGGAGGCCTCTCCTGCCTGCCTGCCTTGGGCCCCACTTCCTCCTCTCTCCTCTTCCCTTCAGGGTTGGCGCAGAAACCGCCTCACGCGGCAAAAAGGCGCCCAGCCACCACAAGAGAGCCAGCGAGCGAATGAGTGAACTGGCTCTACGTCACTATCGACCCCGCGGTGCATTTCGGGACTTGTAGGCCGCGCATCCCTTCACTCAATGCTACAACTCTACAGTCCCACCAGGGGTCGCTGTCTGCTCGCAGAAGAGCAACGCTCGAAGGGAACTACAACGACCGAAGTGCTTTGCGGTTTGCCAATGGTGCCCACTTTAGGGCCCTGTTTTAAAGGCCTTTTCCAAAGTGTGATGGATTAGAGCAGGCTTGGGCAAACTTCGGCCCTCCGGGTGTTTTGGACTTCAACTCCCACAATTCCTAACAGCCTACCAGCTGTTTATTGTTCATTCGTTTAGTCGTTTCCGACTCTTCGTGACCTCATGGACCAACCCACGCCAGAGCTCCCTGTCGGCCGTCACCACCCCCAGCTCCTTCACATTCAATCCAGTCACTTCAAGGATGCCATCCATCCATCTTGCCCTTGGCCGGTCCCTCTTCCTTTTTCCTTCCATTTTCCCCAGCATCGTTGTTTTCTCTAAGCTTTCCTTTCTTCTCATGATGTGGCCAAAGTGCTTCATCTTTATTTATTTATTTATTTCGAGCATTTCTACCCCGCCCTTCTCAACCCCGAAGTGGGGCTCAGGGCGGCTTACAAAAGGCACAATTCGATGCCAGCAATACACATAGTAAGATAAAAAAACATAGCACATCTTGGCCTCTACTATTCTTCCCTCTAATGAGCAGTCAGGCTTTATTTCCTGAAGTATGGACTGGTTGGATCTTCTTGCAGTCCAAGGCACTCTCAGCACCTTCCTCCAACACCACAGTTCAAAAGCATCTATCTTCCTTCGCTCAGCCTTCCCTATGGTCCAGCTCTCACATCCGTAGGAATAACATTGTTTTACCCAGCTGTATCCAATGTTTTTCCCACCCTTGGCACTTTCTCTAGACCAGTGGTTTGCAACCTTCCTAATGCAGCGACCCTTTAATACAGTTCCTCATGTTGTGTGTGGTGACCCCCAACCATAAAATTATTTTCATTGCTACTTCATAACTTTAATTTTGCTACTGTTATGAATTGTAATGTAAATATCTGATATGCAGGATGTATTTTCATTCACTGGACTAAATTTGGCACAAATATCTAATACACCCTTGAAGTGGCATCCTTGAAGTGACTGGGTTGACCTTAAAGGAGCTGGGAGTGGTGACGACCAACAGGGAGCTCTGGTGTGGGCTGGTCCATGAGGTCACGAGGAGTCGTAAATGACTGAACGAATGAACAACAACAACAATCCAATATACCCAAATTTTATTAGTGGTCTGGGTGGGGATTTATTTTGTCATTTGGGCGTTGTGGTTGCTGGGATTTCTAGTTAACCTACAATCCAAGAGCATTCTGAACTCCACCAATGATGTAACGGAACCAAACTTGGCACACAGAACTCCTACGACCAAGAGAAAATATTGGAACAGTGTAGTGGTCATTGATCATGAGTTCTGGGGTTGTACTTCACCTACATCCAGAGAGCAGTGTGGACTCAAATAATGATGGATCTGGATCAAACTTGGCACAAATCCTCAATATCTCCAAATGTAGTGGAGTTTGGAGAAAATAGACCTTGACATTTGGGATTTGTAGTTGCTCAGATTTATAGTTCACCTACAAAGAGAATTCTGAACTCCAACAATAATAGAACTGGGGCAAACTTCCCACACAGAACCCCCATGACCAACAAAAAAAATACTGTGGTTTCTTATGATCTCTGGCGACCCCTCTGACACCCTCCTCGCGACCTCCCCAGGAGTCCCAACCCCCATTTTGAGAAACGCTGCTCTAGACAGGAGTTGTGCTTAATATACTATGTAGATAATTCATCTTGTCAGACTTGAAAGCAATCACATCAAGGATGGAAAGTACAGTTTGTAGCCATGATTTCCAATTTTTACAGTTTCTTGCATCTAGGTCTACTTTGACTTCAGCCAACATTTTAAGCACATTCTTAGACATATAATTTAGGAACAACTCATATTTTAAAAATAAATCCTAGACTATTTGCAATAAAACTCTTAAGATAGGCCTGTGTGTAAACAATATATTATGCCATCAACCAACTACAAATGAGATTCAGTGTGCAACACTGGAGCTTGGAAAAGTTACCTTTAAAACTTTTTTTGTATAATTCCAGAAGGATTCCCCTGCTTTGACCGAGATGTGAATGTTAGCACTGCATATGCATGCATGTGCAGGCGCGCACACACATGCAATAGGTTACTATTTACATTTATAGTTTATTTTTGGTAAGAATCTAAAAAATAAGAAATGAGCCAAACATACTGCTTCAAAATGTTCCTAAACCCGGAAAAACCTACAACAACCCAGTTCCTAAAGCATTCACTCTCAAAAGTAACGAGAATGTGTAAACACTGTTACAAAAGTAAAGTTAATATGGTTGCTAGGAATTGTGTTACTTGTAAAAGGAAAGTTCTTATTACCTCATTAACTCAAGAAACAACATATTACATAATGGAGCATTGCTTGTATTGTTCCACTACAGAGTTCTGTGCCACTCTTTTCTCCCCTTTCTGCAGCTGCAACAGCTAACAATTAGGTGTTGGCTATTACCATGCAAAATAATTAGGTGTTTGTCATTAACATGCAAAGTTTCCTTTATTCAAGTAAAGGCATCTTGAGTTTCAGGTTTTCCTTCTCCAGTGCGATTTTGCTTATTACCTTGTAAATGTTTTCTGCTCCTCCATGACCAGAGTTCCCCAAGGTCACATGTAAATACAGGCATACCTCAATTAACAAGAGACCTACATCCCTTAAAGGCACTAGATCCCCTCAGATCTTTGGCACTAAACAGGATCAACTTTGGTTAGTACTTGGAAGGCAGAGCACCAATGAATCCCAGGTGCTGTAGGCTGTATTTCAAAGGAAGGAACTGGCATAACCACCTCTGAGAATTCCTTGCCTTAAAAAAAACCCATGATTAATGGGTTTGCCATAAATTAAATTAATGGGGTTGGCATATGTCAACAGGCAACGTGAAAATACACACACACACACACAGTACAGTTTCTGTAATATTTTCTACTTCTGTTTGTGAACTGGCAAGAAAGGGTGTGCTGAAAGGTGAAAAAAGAATGGGAAGAGATTGTGCGCCAATCTTCAGCTTGAATAAAAAAAAAAACACCTGGCAGTAAAAACAGCAGTCTTGGAACACCCTTAAAGGCTCTGAACATTATCACACCCTAAAAACTTTGAACTTTATAGTACAAGACAAGAAAACCATCTTTGCAGCTGGACTGTCAGCTTTGGTGGTGGTCCCTATCACACAATGCCATGTGCATCTCACTTCCGTGATTCTCCCACCAATAGCTCCTAATCCTGCTAAGTTCCCACATCCTACCTTCTGCCAGCAGTAATGTGATATCACATGGTTGGATTCTTCTAACTCTCTCCTTGCTATTTCCAAAATGGCTGTTTTTCTCTTATTTCATAGCATATGTTTTGTGACTTCATATGCCTATTCATCTTCCAATGGGAAATATGGGTCTTCTGATGAAATTTGACATTTTATATACAGCATGCAGAAATGTAAGAGAACATTTTAGTTTCACATTACACTGGCATTGATTTTAAAGTGGTTATGCTTAAATAAAGCATCTTCAAAAGCAGGTTGTACCATGTAATCACTGGACTATAATTTGTTGAGCTGTTCTATCACCTTTGAGCAGAATCAGGACTTAACCGTTTCATTATCTCATTAATTTACCAGTGCCAGAATGTTTGTACTTTCAAACACACATCATCAAGCAACATAGTCACTGTTAAGCTTTTAAGTAGTTACACTTCCGGCATTTTCATTCTGATTTGATGACCTAGAATTCCATTCAGCCACATCTTGACACACACACAATATGCATAGTCTCACAACTGAAGATTGCACTTTATTGTTTGGATGGTGTGGCCTCTAAATCACAAATCCTTGTTGTTCATTCGTTCAGTTGTCTCCGACTCTTCGTGACCTCATGGACCAGCCCACGCCAGAGCTCCCTGTCGGCCGTTACCATCCCCAGCTCCCTCAAGGTCAGTCCAGTCACTTCAAGGATGCCATCCATCCATCTTGCCCTTGGTCGGCCCCTCTTCCTTTTGCCTTCCACTTTCCCCAGCATAATTGTCTTCTCTAGGCTTTCCTGTCTCCTCATGATGTGGCCAAAGTACTTCAACTTTGTCTCTAGTATCCTTCCCTCCAATGAGCAGTCGGGCTTTATTTCCTGGAGGATGGACTGGTTGGATATTCTCGCAGTCCAAGGCACTCTCAGAACTTTCCTCCAACACCACAGCCCAAAAGCATCGATCTTCCTTCGCTCAGCCTTCCCTAAGGTCCAGCTCTCACATCCGTAGGTTACTACAGGGAATACCATGGCTTTGACTAGGCGGATCTTTGTTGCCAGTGTGATGTCTCTATTCTTTACTATTTTATCGAGATTGGACATTGCTCTCCTCCCAAGAAGTAAGCGTCTCCTGATTTCCTGGCTGCAGTCTGCGATAATCTTTGCACCTAGAAATACAAAGTCTGTCACGGCCTCCACGTTTTCTCCCTCTATTTCCCAGTTGTCAATCATTCTTGTTGCCATAATCTTGGGTTTTTTTTTTAGCTGCAACCCGGCTTTTGCACTTTCTTCTTTCACCTTGATTAGAAGGCTCCTCAGCTCCTCCTCGCTTCGGCCATCAGAGTGGTGTCATCTGCATATCTGAGGTTGTTAATGTTTCTTCCAGCAATTTTCACCCCAGCTTTGCATTCATCCAGCCCCGCACATCGCATGATGTGTTCTGCATACAAGTTAAAAAGGTTGGGGGAGAGGATGCAGCCTTGCCGTACGCCTTTCCCAATCTTGAACCACTCTGTTGTTCCATGGTCAGTTCTTACACCATAAGAAAGGTGTTGATTTTTAAGGCATTACAAGACTCCCTGCTGTTTCTGGTGCAACAAATGAATATGATTACTACTGTAGAATATTTGTCAGTGAATCTTGTACCAGTTCAGTTGTATTTGCTATTTGTCCTCCTCTGCTTCAGGTTGCAGACATGTAGAATACACGCAAGCTTGGCAAGAAAGTTGTGGGACAGGACACTATGGACCTATGGTTCGATATTGATTTAGTTGTACTCGGAGTAGTGCTAACTTAAATCTCCATATGACCAAGTCAACTTGCAAGTCCTTATTGCTGGTGGAATCATTCACAAATGAGAGAAAACAAAAGTATGGAGACAAGAAGGTTTTTGAGCCAACCCATGAACAAATAAGTTTAATAGTTTTCAGCAGACCATAGCTTTCTAGAAGCTTCACTGTCTCATCTACTTGGAGATGGACATACAGTAAACACAACAATATATGATACAACCCATCACAGCTGGATTAAAAAAATACACAAAATATAATACATAAAAATGGTTTTACACTGTGGACTGACAGAGCTCTAAAAAAGGTGACCATAACCCTGGTAAGCTTTACAAAGTCTTTAAAAAAATAAAACAGTACTTCATGTGAAATTCATAAATACATGGGATGTGGGGGATGGGGGTGGGGTGGGAGTTGGTTACTGAGTTTTGTGTACCTGTATTATTGTTCACCTAAGAGGATTCACGAAGCCAGTATTTTCCTTAGCCTTGCTGCCATTCTCTTAGGGACACTAAATGAGGAGTGGTTTGTGTCCCCGCAAACCTAAGATGAAAAGGTGCAAGAAATTTTGCAACAGGAAGGCTGGGGATGGACTCGAACTTCATGTTGTACAAACACAAAGAGTAGTATGGCATAGAAGGAACCAAAAGGAAAGGATGAGAAATGTAATGTAGTCCAGTTTAAGAGGATGTTCATTCTGAAAGCTCTAGCCAGGTGGAAGGTTGTGGATAAAATGCAAAATACAAACAAACAGGTTTTATATAAAGACATTTGGGGTTAGGCAAGACTAAGGCCCTGTTCCACTTTCCACACATATATGCTGAAGTTTTATGCACCTTTCTTTAAAAGGTATTTTTGTAGAAAACGGGTATTTTATTGTACATGGGCTAAGGAAAATGGGGAAAAGTTTAAACCTTAATTCCCAGAATTTTTGATCTAGGAATGAAAATAAACATGCTACATATAAATTAGCCAGAATTCCTGACCTTACAGAGATTCTGGCAGTAATCATAAGGTATTCAACATCCTGACCCCTTTTGACTATACTTCCTCCTGTTTTGACTCCAAAGATGCTGTACCTTTCCCCAAATGCCCAGGGGTTTGAAAACGTACCTAAACTTCAAGCTGGCTTTTACTGGGCAGCCTATTCATCCTAAGAATAATGCTTAAGGAAGAAGGCTGTGGCATAATATATAGTGAAAGACCAATTTACCTAAAACATCACACATGGCCATGTCAAATTTGCCAAGAAGGATGGTGCACCAAGATTAAAATACTGTTGACAGGAAGCAAAGATGATATTCCTCTGTATTTAGCTTACTGGTTCTTTCTGAACTTGTGACTTTACTAATTCCCAAAGAGTTCACTAAATGTACTGCTCCTGAGCAATTTGAGACTTGCATATGCACAAGTCTCCATGTACCATTCCATCAGTTGAGCACCTTGGGGTCTTAACATGACAAGAAATTAGTATTCTTTTCAATGTTCTACGTATTGGAGCTTCCCAAAAGTCCTTGGGTGGCATCAATTAAAAACACTTCACAGGTAAAATTCTTAACATTAATTTTAAATGTCCTTCAATATTTTGAAAAACTATTTTGTCCGTTGTCATTGTAGTGCCACTTCATAGCTACATGCTGCACCAAAACAATAGTCCAAAGGCTCTTACGCTCATTCATAGTCTGCTGATCAGGGTTTGGGTTATCCATTGCCTTTGTACCTGGCCCTTTAGGTAACAAGTAACCGCCATTTTAATCACAACATGGGTGCTACGTCAACAATGCAGTGGTGATACAGGCCCAGACTGAATGTGAGGCCCAAGTCAGTTATGAAACGTAGAGCATGAAGACTTTATGAGGCTTCCATGACCTCACCTCCTACTTTAACAAGACAAACAATTCAGAAAAGTTAAGGAAAAACCAAAAAATACCAAAGCAAAAAACACGTGAAGGGAAGATGTCTTGGATTTAACCTGAACTTTATGTTAAAATGATAAGAACTCAATTTTCTGCCTCAGAACAGTAACAACCCATCTCGTGTTAATATTCTTTCTTTTCCAACATAATTGCAAGACCCCATCTCTCTGTGTGTTTCTCCCTGTATAAGGTGGGATTCCGTACATCTCAATGCCAAAATTAAAATTAGTCTGGTGATGAAACTCTCCTTATAACACTTTAAACCAGGTTCCATTTAAAGCTAGACAAATATCTAAGCAGCAGAATTTTGGGTTTAATTCTGTGCATTCTAGTGGCAGCCATATATTCTTCCCCTCCTATTTCTCAAATTTTATTGCACTCCCCACTGCCCCAAACGTATGCTTTGAGGCGTCCCCATGAGAATCACTTTAGCGGTTTAATTTAAACAGCATAGCCATGTTAGTCTAGAAAATCAGTATGCAAGAAGATCTTGGAGTACCTTAGTGACTAACAGAGAGAACAAAGTTGGTAGCATAAACTCTCATTGACCAAGTCTATTTATACAGATGCCACTCCAGATGTCTTAAGAGAGAAGTACATGGGGGATCATCAGCTTGAGTGGATCCAGATGAGGACAGACTATAGAAAAAGGAAGAGAGAAAAGGGAGGGGAAGAAAGAGAGAAAAGGAAGTGCCCACCCAACCTATACTTTTGACTCTAACCCAATCCCAATGTTAATAGGTGATAAAAGCCATATTACCTACAAGGAAACAAAGCCCGCAACAGAAAGAAGTTCATCCCTGGACTGAAAAAAGATAGTACAAGAAGAAACTTCTAATGAAAACCAACCAACTAAAATACAGTGTACTGAAAGAAAAAGCAGAAAGACAAAATGAGAAAAGCTCAATGGTACAAAAGGCACAAAGTTTACATTCTGTTAGTTCCTCTATTATTCATATAGTGACAAGTTAGCATTTAGACAAATTATAATTGAAAGCTATGGGCTCGAGGCCTGGAAGAGCCATGGAGTGCAGGTACTGAGATCTTGACACTATTCATGTAACAGGTTTCCTAAAAGCACCAATCCGAACGATAAAGCCCACACTGCGAGATTTGATATTTGATGTAGAGGAGCTTGTCGTTACCCTTATCTCATACACAGAAACCTTCCCAATATTTCAAACAGCAAACAGTACAGTTTCCTAATGACAAAGGATTCTTTATACCGAGTTGTACTGTAGTCCTTCTTTCAGCACCTCCCTGAGATTGAACTGCCAGAGTACTCAATTTTCACTTTGATTCTAGCAGTCTCCACAAGGGCATGGTGCACAATACAGGGAAAACCATGTGCCCTAATGTTCATATCCTGACCATCACAAATGAGGAGAAAAGCAGAAGGGAAATAATACCTTATCAAAATGATGTCCAGGCATCAAGGACTTTGATCTAAGCTTTTCCCATATTGTTTTTGAGATGACAGATGTTTTAAAAATACTTCTCTCAGAGCTGGTTAAAATTCCCTAGATACTTGTGGGGGTGGGGGTGGGGTGGGGGGAATCCAAGCAATGTGATCTAAGCAAGTGAAGATATTTCTCAAAACAGACATGTCATGGCCCTCCAAATGTCAGCCTGCTAATCATCAGATTGCATCATTCAAAATGTTGGGAACTGCTTTCCTACAGCTCACCGCACAGTCTTCGTCCTAATACATACTCAAACCTCTTATCATTTCAAACAGAAGCCTTTAAATTCTTTCTTTTCTCCTTGGGGTACACAACATACAGACATGCACACTCCTGTAGCATATTTCCCATCTATTTTTCAAACACCTGAGACATGGATGTAACATTGCCATACTCCTGCCATAATCAACACCTGATGCACTTCCACACCAGTGCTTGGGGAAAATGCAGTAGGTACTGCAATTTTAAAAATGCCCGAGTTATTGTGGAACCCAAACCACATGTATTTAACCATTGGGTAGGTGCCACAAAAAGACACACACTCTGCTAGTTCCCTATATTGGTTCTGCACACTGATTGTAGCAAGTGACTGAGAAACAAAAAACATATTTATCTTTGTCAGTATTAAAAACAGAATAGGATCTGTCACAAGGCAGCATCTAATTTCCCATCCTTTTTTCAGAAGACATCTTCAGCAGGCCCATGCAACTCTTTTCTGCAGATGAAAGGCACCAAAGGTTTCAAGGATAAAATCCTGATCTTGACATGGAAAATATAGGCACATCCGGAGATTAAGAAGAGGCTGGCAGTTTCATTTCATCCTTTTACAGTGTTGTGTGGTGAGAAAGGCATCAAGGGGTACCGGGCTTTGGCACTGATGTCTCCTGAAATACTGATGACAGTCCCAAGGAACAGTTTTCTCTCCATCTCCAAGATATTTCACCATCCATGTTATGCTTTTCTATAATGCTTTTTTCTTATTGTTTTTATTGTTCCTAAGTAGAAAACATATCTGATTGTGAAACAGTTTGTATTTGGCATTGCTTTTTTGTTGTTCATTTAAAAAGACTTTTGTCAAGGCCTCCTATACTGGTGGCTTCTCAGACGAGGCTTCTCTCTTCTCCCTTCCTTAAATTTCTTGCTTATCCCAGAAGAGCCTTCAGTCTTTGACTAACTTGTAGACATGATGCTGGGCCCCATGCTCACTGGTGGACACCTCAAAAACAAAGGCTATACAGAGCAATGTTTCCTGGGTATCTCTGTTTGTAACAACCTGAAGTAAGAGAAGCAAAACACACAGAGATTAGGGAAGGTTGAAGGGAAAGTCAGATTAATGAGATCAATGGTTTTCTTGACTTTTAAACAAAAACACACTGCAGAAATGTACCCAGCTATTCCTACTTCAAGCTTATTTGTTTAAAATCAATTTATATAATAATGCAAAATAGAAGATCTGCTGCCTCACCTAGCCACCTCACTCTGCTTAATCGTAGGACTAGCTTAAACAAGGCATAAGGAAGCTGGCTTTCAGCCCCTTCTCATACTACACTGAAAGCTCAGACACAGTAACTGGAGTACAAGATACATACAATATACATGCATACTATGACAACTGACAAGGATTCATGTATATACTATATCAGGCATGGGCAAACTAAGGCCCGAAGGCTGGATGCTTACCTCAAGCCCTCCTCATTCTCCCTGTCCTCTTGGTAGGACACAGCAACCCACTGTGTCCTTATGCCAAAAAGATGGGGGAGGGGCATGTAGCAGCGGAGAGGCCTTTGGAGACCTCTCAGTCACGGTGTGTCTCACCCTCCTTCTGGCAAAAGGATGGTGCAAGCGTCCCCATCCTTATGCCAGTAGGATGGCTTGAGAAAGGCATGTAGAAGATGAGAGCCCCCTGGAACACTCTCAACTGCTGCCTGTCTTGCCCTCCTCTCAGCATAATGCCAAGAGGACAACCCAAGGATTGGGAGAGGAGGAACAGGGCAGTCTGTACTAATGCTGGGAGGACAACCTGAGGATGACCCAAGCCCTTCCCTACCCCCTCCTAGTCTGCCCTGTCCCAGGTCCCCCCCCCCTTTGCTCTCTCTCTCAATAAGTAGACCCACACAACATACATACAGAGTTTCAAGGCAAAGTAGAATCCCACCCATGAGAGAAAAGTGGGATAAAAATAAATATATAAAAATGGCGATGATGATAATTATGATGATGATAATAATAACAATAATAATAGAAAACTAAGATAAAATTTATTTACTTAGTTATGAAATTTCTCAACTGCCCTAAAACTGAAGCTCTCTTGGCAGTTCACAGATACAAGAATCAAATTAAAATGATTCTGAGACTGAAAAAAAAAAGAGTTTAGCTCTTAAAGCGGAACACTCTTCTTGTCCCCAAAATAAATTCTACACAAGCTTGCTATGTAGTCTCACAATTTGCAATTACCCAAAAAAACTGACAAATACTAATCCATTATTTTTAAAGAGGGAAAAATTAATGATGTGTCTAGCACTGTGAGAAGAAAAAACAGTGAGAAGAGAAATGAAATAGCAATTTGAAGTCCATAAAATCCCACCTTGATCCTGGAAACTAAACTAATGTCAAACAGTATTAACTTGTATAAAACTACTACTATGTGTAAATAAGACACACAATCAATATATGCTGGAGGAGGAAAGAAGGACAAGGAAGGTTACAGAATAGAAGGAAAAGATGCAGATGCTTTACCTGCAGGATGGTGAAATTCTCCAGGACACTGTTCATCATGTACTTTTCTGGGAGGTGTTTTAGTTTATGGATGAAGTTGATCATATACTCGCACATAGGAGATCGATGGATTCGGTACACACACCTTCCATTTTCCATCCGTGCAAATTCAGTCTGTAGAAAGACATTAAAAATTTAAAAGCCTGTCCATGAAATAATATATGCCTCTATTTGAAACATTTAGATTTGCATGTGAGAAAGGCTGCAGAAAAACAGAGAAATAAAGTATTCCCTAAAAGAAAACAATATATTAACCTGGTTCAGAAAAAGTCCCCAAATAAACAGAGGCCCAGAACACAAAAATGTGAATTAAAATTCCTAAATCCCTAAACATAAACAATATCATGTTGACTGGGGAATTCACGGATTTGAAGTTCAAAAAATGCAACACTGCATACAGCTTTAATGCATGTATGAACTTATTGGAATTAAAAATTTGAATGCATCTTTTCTCTTAGACTTTAAATGCCTCCAGACCTATAATATAATCCAGTCAATCCAATCCTATATTAACCAATATGTGACTCAGCCTATCTCCCTTCTGTTAGTCCCAAAGAGGAAGGAAGAAAAGAACTCACCTCCACCTTTTCGACTACTTGCTTTCCAAAGGAGCACACCTTAGTGGAGACTGTGATGGTCATGTTTTCTGCACTGCTATATTGACTGCTTACGCCATAAAAAGCACCAGGGCCATCCTGAATGGTGCTGTTCAGATCCGCCTATAGCAAAGGCAGGAAAGAGATGTTACATTTCAGCTATAGATTAGAAGGATCTGTCTGTCTATCTATAGGGAGAGAAATCTATATCTATACATCTATAGATCTATATATTAGAAAGCTTTTGCATCAAGGTAATCAAAACACTGGGGTGCATTCACTAAAAAGCCAACATGGATAAGGAAGGTTCAAAATGTGTAAAGCCTAAGTTCTCCTCCTTCAAATCCACAGCTGAAGAGTTGAAACATATTCTCAGAAGCAGCTAGGTGTTATTAATTGGACCACAGCAGTTCAAATATTTTAAGTCAAGAGCTGAGAAGATGAGCTAAAATTGTTCATAGTACATTCCACAGTGAAACCACCATATTCTGAGATTCAGTGGAGAGAAACCAACAATTGTATGGCAGTATTAAACATGGAAAGCAAACGACTAAAGCATCTACTTTTGTAAAACCCAAATAGTCACAAGAAAATACCAGGTTTTTGCTGAAAGACATTTAGTGAAGTTATTTCATAACATTTTCTCTACAGATACTAAGCCAGTTCTGCTTTAGCATACAAAAATGGGTAAAACCATATTTATTATTTATTTATTTCCTTCATTTATATACCTATTTTTTCACCCCTGCAGGGACTCAAAGCAGTTTCCAACATATTCACGGCAAAATTCAATGACTTACAAAACATGAAAACCTAACATTTGTTTTATGTTAGGTTTTCATGATTTGTAAGGCATTGAAGTAAATAAAATAACAGTAACATAAAACTATCAATTAAATCATAAAGCATAACTACATTGAAACATTAAAACAAGGGATTAAAAACATATTAATATAAACATTAAAATCACATGATCCAAAAGCATGATCCAGGCCATTCCAGTATCAAATAATGATTGTACATAATCCGTGTTCATTTTTTTGTCCTGCTTTCTGCCCAAATGCTTGGTTCCACAGCCATAGTTTTGCGTTTTTTCTGAAGGCCAAGAGGGGTGGTGGTGATCTAATTTCGTTGCGAAGCATTTCATATACAAGGGGCCACCAATGAGAAGGCCCTGTCTCTCGCCCCCACCAGTCATGCCTGCGAAGGAGGTAGGACCGAGAGCAGGGCCTCCCCAGACGACCTTAGCCTCCAAGTTGGATCATAGAGGGAGATATGTTCAGACAGGTAAACTGGGCCGGAACCATTTAGGGCTTTATAGATTAAAGCCAGCACTTTGAATTGTGCTCGGTAGCAGACTGGCAGCCAGCAGAGCTGGCATAACAGGGGGATTGTGCGCTCCCTGTACCCTGCTCAGGTAAGCAATCTGGCTGCTGCCATTGGACCATTTGGAGCTTCTGAACAGTCTGGTGCACAAGTTTTAATTGTGCAAAAGCTCCAACACAAAACCTCCAAGAAGGCCTGCATCAGATAGCACAACCCATCCCCACTATCCCCAACATTTGAATTAAATGAGTACAGCAACGAAACCCAGCAAAATCCTTCTGCCTAACTGCTTGCCCTGTCATCTGGTGAAGAAATGCCCAATGAGTATTTTTCAGACACTTCAACCTGCATGTTTCTTACCCAGAATTTGACAAGGAAAAAGGAGTTCTGAGGTCCTCTCTCATAAAGTTCCTTCAGGCCACCTTTCTTCTCAGGGAACTTGTCATAGATCTGGCGGATGTCCACTGCTTCCAGCAGTGGGTCACTGTACGAGGGATTCGTCTGTCCAATATGCACAAAGAGGTGCTTGCTATACTGTAGTAGGATGGAGAGGGAACATGAAATGTAAACATGTTGGAACAGATGGCATCATTTTCTACCTCCAAGATTAAGTCATTATAAAAATGATACAGCTGCTAATTCTGCTGTAGGAAATTTAAGAATAGGTTGCATTTATTTGAATTTTTTATTGCTAATTGCCACCATATAGACATGAGAACTTCAAAAGAAGTTACAGTAACACACTACATTGTGCAAAGTACCATGATAGTGATAGTTAGAACTTGTGTCTTAAGCACCTTTTGAAAAAGAGACAGAGGTGGTAAGAGGGAAGTTCAGTCTTCACACAATCACAAAGCTACTAGACAACACAAATCATTTCTTAAAAGCAGGCAAATGCAACCACACACATTCATCCAGTCCATGTGGACAGCAGTGTCAAACAATCTTTCTTAAGAGTTACCGTTTCAGGGTCACGCTGCACTTCCATGAATGCTGAATACTCAAGGAGCCGCAGCTTGGTAGAGGCAATGGTGCGGTCCTGCCAGACTGGCACAGCCGAGGCAGCAGGTGGGAGAGGAGCCAAGGGCTCATAGCCTGAAAGAAGAAAACATTGCAACATTTCTGAGCATTATAAGAATAGTATTAGCTTCAGAACCAAGGAGAAACCAATTAGATTCCCATCTGGTTCAAGCGCATATCCTTCCAAGCAATCCAGGACTACATTCTTTATTGTTGATTTGATGGGGATTGCAATGCAGCCAGATTGTAGTTTGAATTGTACATTTCTTTTATGCGAAATGCTCTGGGTTTTCTGTACATACAGGCAACAACAAAAGTAAAATGGATCAAAGCTACTGGAGCCCCTGGTGGCGCAATGGAATCAAACCCTTGTGCCAGCAGGACTGTTGACCAAAAGATTGGCGATTCGAATCCAGGGAGCCAGGTGAGCTCCCATCTGTCAGCTCCAGCTTCCCATGCAGGGGTATGAGAGAAGCCTTCCACAGGATGGTAAAACATCCGGGCGTTCCCTGGGAAACGTTTTTGCAGACAGCCAGTTCTCTCACACCAAAAGTGACTTGCAGTTTCTGAAGTCACTCCTGACATGGAAAAAAAATTAAGGCTACTTGAAAACAAATAGGTGGCACTGAGAAGGAACTGCAAATCTCTGATGAACCAGAGGGATGGAACACACTATGTACGCTAGATAGTACACAACTTAAATTTCCAGCAATCAACATTCTACCCTTGTAGAAAGTTGTCTAAGCAAAGAGCATCAGGAAGCTTTGGCAAAAGAGTATCAAGACAGACAAGTTTCCTAATGAACTGCATAATTTCTGCCACCAGTCTGATCTTCCACCCACATCCCATCTTTTAGATACTGACACTCTTTTTGCTGGATGTGAAAACACACAGAGTTTGGATCCCACACAACTCCATACATATATATCCCAGAAAATGCAAAGCTATGAACCATACAGTTAAGACAATGGAATGTTCCTTCCTCACTTTTTTTGTAACACTTAAGAATAGAAGCAGGGAAGCAGAGTGAGGATAACTATTTGGAGCGAACTGTTAAGTAACTATTTGGAGCAAAATGAAAATAACTAATTTGGAGCAAAATGAGAATAACTAATCTTTTAGGGTGCAAGTTATTCTGTCTCTGTGACTGAAACAGTAGAAGACCAATATTCTGGTTGGACCAAGAAAAAAGTTTAGTTTAAGAGAAGTTCTCAGTAATGAGATAAACAGCTAGGGCTGCATGTATGTGTAAATGACAACAGCTACTGAATTTTGTTTCTTGCTGAGATACATCAAAAGTTAGCTGGAGAAAACAGTTGAGTACAACTTACTGGCTAGTGATGGAGGCATGGGTGGCTGGATGGGGTAGGCTGGTTGTGCAAAAGGTTTAATGCTGGAAAACAAAATAGTAATAAACAAGTTAGTCTCAGTGGGCCAACTTTCCGATAATATATTCACGCTGCACATCAAGTCAAAGCTCATGCCACTAGAAATTAAGCAGATCTCTTCTTCAAATCTGAGCTTTTTTCCTGTCATTTTTGGTATGAAAATGGTGAGTTGCTGCTCTTGGATACAGCAAAAAATGTGGATAGCCTTTAAAGCCCATCTCTCTAAGTCTCCTCAATGACCTCAACTGAAAATGGCACCTAAATAATCTGGTGCAATGAGGGAACAAAGATGGGCTCCTGGACCTGCTTATCCCTAATATTGCCACCTGGTGGGAACCATGGGAACAAAAAGCTAGATGACATTCATGTTTGTTCTGTTTCAGCCCAACTCTTATGTGAAAAACAGTTGTGGATACCATCTGTTTAAAGTCATCCCCATCTGCTACTGAATAATGTGCTATGTCAAAAGCTTACTGCGACATAGAAGAACATTGTCACTGAGCATCTCTCTATTTCTGGATTTTGTAAGTGGAATGTCATGTTTACATGGAGAAATATTTAAACAAACATGAGACTTCAGTTGGAACAATCCTCATGTTCAATTATGCCATCATGGGTAGGCAAAATGTGGTACTCCGGTCAGACTTAATGCCTCTAGCATGCACTTCCAATTGAGAGGCACACTGAGAGTAGCAATCCAAAATCATCTTTTGGAGGGTCACATTTTGCCCTTCCTCCTTCCACTTGCATCAGCCCTTATTTTGGGGAAAACCCCATAGAGAATGGCATTTTGGAAAAAGTGAGCATAAAATAATAACTTGTTCAATAAGAGAGAGAGATTTGGCATCATCCTCTGTAAAACATTTTGGAAACACATTGCTAGTATCTTCCTCCAACTTCTCTGCTACGTAACTCCACATTCTAAGCACTTTGCTCCTGAAAAGTCATGTTCACAATCTAAAATTTTTACTTACTCCTGAGAAGGTCCAGACTGTCCTGGGATAGGTCCACTCCAAAACTGTGGAAACATAATCAACACACAAAATGTTAGCATTCCTAACAAAGGACTCCATAGTTTGTTCTGTTCAAAACAATATGTCTCGAAGAGGTTGTTCTTGTTATTATATGCCAGTGATGGCTAGCCTATTCCATAAAGCAGAAAAGCTTACAAATCTTTCCTCTAAAAGGCTAAGATGAGCTAGGAATAGATGAGCTGGCTGTATTGTCGAAGGCTTTCATGGCTGGAATCACTAGGTTCTTGTGGGTTTTTTCGGGCTATAGGGCCATGTTCTAGAGGCATTTCTCCTGACGTTTGTTCTCCTGCAAAAAGAATCTGCGAACACCACCTCCTCCAAGATGAACTGAACCACCTCAACTGGGCTCTCCAGGCCAATGGATACTCCACCTCAGACATCAGAAGAACTGCAAAACCAAGAACATGCCACGAGAGTAAAGATGAAGATCCACCCAGAGGAAAAGTGTTCCTGCCATACATCAAGGGAACCACTGACCGCATAGGGAAGCTGATGAGGAAACACAACATACAAACAATCTACAAACCCATCAAGAAAATCCAACAAATGCTACGTTCAGCAAAGGACAAGAGGGATCTTCTCACTCACCATGCAGCTGTGGACAAGTCTACATAGGGACCACCAAACGCAGCGCCCAAACACGAATCAAGGAACATGAAAGGCACTGCAGACTACTTCAACCAGAGAAGTCAGCCATAGCAGAGCACCTGATGAACCAGCCTGGACACAGCATATTATTTGAGAACACAGAAATGCTGGACCACACCAACAGCCACCATGTCAGACTACACAGAGAAGCCATTGAAATCCACAAGCATGTGGACAATTTCAACAGAAAGGAAGAGACCATGAAAATGAACAAAATCTGGCTACCAGTATTAAAAAACTCTAAAATTACAACAGCAAAACAGCAGAGAGGAAACAACCAGGCACATCTTAACACCTCTCAACAAAAGATTTTCCCAGGCTCAGCCAGGCCTTCAAATGCTAATGAAGGTGGTCAGTTGAAACATTCACACCTAGCTCCAGCAGGGAAGAGCTCTTGGCCCCACCCCAGCCATTCCACAGATATATAAACCCATTGTCCTAATTCCAACAGACCTCACTACCTCTGAGGATGCTTGCCATAGATGCAGGCGAAACGTCAGGAGAAATGCCTCTAGAACATGGCCCTATAGCCCGAAAAAACCCACAAGAACCTAGATGAGCTGGCGTTTCACACCAAATCAGTGCACTTCCTTATTAAGGAAAAGAGTTGGATCGGATTCTCCACAACGGAGGGTAGAGTATGAGAAAGGTAAGAAGGATTAGATGAGGGTTTGAGTATGGAGAGGCTGAAAAAAGCTATCATGTATGGGTTGAAGGGAACATTAATTAGAGGGGAAAGATCCTAATTTGTAAACAAGCAAAAATGTCTACGTCGGTGTATGTTGGATGCAGAACACAAAATGAAAAGACACATTTAAATAGTTCCAAACAAAGCTTATCAGTTAGCACTTCACTGTCAAATTAATAAACAGAACAGTGCTTCAGACTAATCTCTGCTTGAGATATACTGAGAAGGGAGCAAGCTTATTTTCTATTGTTCCAGAGACATGGAGCAACAGATTCGAACTGCAAGCAAAGAGATTCCACCTAAACTTTAGGAAGACTTTCCTGAGAATGAGAGGTATTCAATAGTGGAATACACTACCTTGAAGTGTGGTGGAGTTTCCTGCTCTGGGAGTTTTCAAACAGAGGTCAGAGAGCTATCTGTCACAAGTGCTTTGATTATGCTATTTTGCATGACAGGAGATTGGGTTGGATGGTGCAAAGGGGTTGCCCCACTTCAAAGAAAAGGGGTTTCAGGAGAGAGAACTTTCGATTTATTATTTATTATCCTTAATGGAGCCACCAATTTGTGATGTGAGGTAATTTGGGAGATTGGGCACACTGAACGCCGAGTTAATGGAGATGAGGCAGTCTTAAAATCAAAGAGAACAAGTTTATTTTGAAACAAAGCGTATGGTTGCAGTTTGGTGATAAACTTGGAAGATACTTGGAGAACGTTACATATAACTTGGTTGCGATACAGTACAGACTTCTGATGTTACAACTTATCAATAACTTTTGCTGTGGTGAAGCACTTTATTAAACAATGGTTCCTGAGGTGAATAGTCTTCCTGTTTGATCCTTCCGTGATCAAACCTCAGATCTCTAGTTCACTTTTAACTAGTGATCTAAACAAGCTTCTATTAGCCTTCTCTAACTAATGAAACTAATAAGGTTTCCCCTTCAGCCTTCCTAAACTGAAGAAACCTCTGACTATTCACAAACACTGCTTCTCTACTTCCCACTCTCTCTCTCAACACTTCATTTCCCTGAGCCTAAAACCTGACTCTTCATTCCTCTGAGCCTAAACCCTAAACTAACTGTTCACTCCTCTGAGCCTAAACCCTAACTGACTTTAACTGTCGCTTTCAAAAACTCTCCTCTCTAAGCTCCTCCCACTTCTCTACAGCATCGTTTCCATGGTAACACACTCCTCACAGCTAGGCCGCTCCAGCATTAGGGCAACCAGTGCAAACACAAATACAGTTATAATCATATCATTTACAATCAACTTCTGTACAGATGGCTCTTGTGGTCTCTTCCAATTCTGTGACTTTATGAACCACAGTTAACACTACTCTCTGCATGACAGAAGCAGCCGTCACTATGATGGAGCATCTCTTACCCTGGGAGTAGCAGAAAAGACAGCCTGAGGGAGTGGAGGAGGGGGGCTGAGCTTGTTCTGCAAGACACTGGCAGATACAATCTGTGCTGATGACATGGAAGCCATACTCTGCAGAGCCTTGTCCTTCGAGACCTGATCCTTCAATATAGAAAGGGAGAAAAATAGAGAAAAGGGAGTTACTGACTTCTCAGGGAGCATACTGGCATACTAATCATCTGGTTAGACAACATTTGTTAAGGTTTCACACTGCTAGCAATGCACTACTCAGACACATTGTTTCTGAAAAGCGGTTAGAGTTTTGCTACTATTATTCCTAAAGCTCAGTTTTCAAGCATCCTCCTAATACTGCAGAATATTATTTTTCAAGCTGGAATTCAGAGAAGTGGGATACCAACACCCATAGCAGTGTTTAGGCTAGTTAATGCTCAATTACTCCAGAAAATATTCGACATACTGGTAGTCCCCAAATTACAAACAAGATAGGATTTGTTCTTAAGGTGAATTTGTGTGGAAGTCAAAATAGGTACTTTAAAAGTCTAATTCCAGACTGACTGACTGACAGACACAGACAGAGTTTGGATAGCATAGGGAAGGGTTAACACCCCTGTGATACTTGTTTTGCTGCCTGTGTCCCTGTTCAAAAGATTTCACCTCACTTTCTCTCCCTGTGATATTGGGTTTTGAAAAATTTGGATTGTGAAGACAAAGGTTGGTGGTAAAGCTTCAGTGGAGACACTTTTTCCCCATGGTAACTCTTTTAGGAGTAAATTTCCCTTCCTAGGGGTAGATTTCTCTCACTCCCTGTTGACTCACCCCCATTAACAGCAACAACAATTTTATTTGTATACCACCCTATCTCCTTGAAGGGACTCAGGGCAGTTTCCAACATATAAAGCAATATAGTTCTTAACTATGAGTGTTTGGACGCCGGTTCTTTGTCACCTGGGGACTAGCTGGATATTAATCTGTCAGTTCCAGTTGCTCTGCTTATCATTTGAGTTTCAGAAAGAGATGCATTTCTAACCAATAGATCTTTTCCATAGTTACACCTTACTCAGAGAATTAATGGAAGAGAGACAAAACTGAATAGTACTCACCAAGTTCATAGCCTGTGTGAAATGGGAAGGAAAGGGGAAAAAACTGTTAGTACTTCTGCCATTACATTGGGCACTGAAGAATGGAGCCTGTACATAACAGCTTTCAACAGAAATGGTCTTCAGAACATCAAAGAATGTCAGGTTTCATTTGCTATACAAAGGATGTCTGAGCGAGACTGATTCTACAGCTCAAGAGGAATGAGGAACAAGAAGTGAACAGCATGAAACTAATCTTGGCAAATCATGACTTCATCTTAATAAATCAAGGGGACTGTGCTCGAAGCCATAAAAGATGGAACAGACCAATTTGCTTTGTGGTTCTGTATAGTTGAATCAGTACTGGCCATGGATGATCATTTTCAATGACTCTAATGCACTACCAGTACAATCTGACAATGGTATGTACGAGTATAACTGCATAGAACAGTACGTACATGAGCATCTGTAGTTTTTTGGTCTGAGTGCAAATAACTGTCAGTGTAATCAGGCAGAATAAGAGGAATACCTGTATAATTAGATATTTGTGGAGAGCTAATTTGTACAGGTCTAAGCCTGCATGGAGAAAAACGCTTGGGTCAACAGAGATTTCACATTCTTTTCATTTTATCTTTAGCTCTTCCTTTAAAGACAAAGGTGGTCCTAAAGGGATCCTCTACTTGGAAACAGATTTTAAAAAGCAAACAGACACTAGGCTAAATTATGTTAAGGAAGGAGGGGGTTGCAGAAAGAAGAGTGAGAATTTATGGATATATAATTAAAAGGTCCTCTGATAACAACACACTATGGTGAGAAACAGGGAAACTATTTTTGAGCACTCTCTCCAATGCATCACCCTAACACTGCTATCTATAACAGAACTGGATATTATGTGATAGCTACATAACATTTTTTTCAACTTGACTTCTTTGATCCCTCTTTCCTTTCTTCTTTTCTGTGACTCACCCTGAATCAGACTGCAAGTTTGCTAGTAGGCCTTGTTGTATTTCTCTTAAGTATATTGTGACTTTAAGTTGCACTTTTAGTAATTTCTAGAAATGTACTGTTTCACAGTAACAGCTAGACTTAAAAATGAATTAGATATTTTAATACATTTTTCCATACATCCTCAAAAGAGCTCAGGGAACCTAAGCTCTTTTATCATCGCAACATCCCTATAAAATTGGGTTAGGCTGAATACAAGTGGTATAAGAATTCAGGCTGAATATAATCTGTGCATTTTCTTAATGTTGACTGCTGCTCTTTTCTTTTTGGGCATACCTGGAGTTCTACGAAGTAGCTGGTAAGAAGTTTTGTTATGCATACAGCACTAGGGAAAAACCTACCGGTATCCCATCTTTCTCAAGGAATGATTTATTACATAAAACTGGAGTGTGGACTCCAATTTATAATAACCCTGTCTCAGATGCATTCAGAGGGGTTTGCCATTGCCTTCTTCCAAGGCTGAGAGTGTGTGACTTGCCCAAGGTCACCCCATGAACTCTCATGTCTGATTGGGGATTTGAAATCTGGTCTCCTGGGAAGAAAATATTAAAATCTTAAAGGTGCCACATACATACTGTGGATTTTTGAGCATTAAACAAAAACTAACCACAGTCAATTAGTTTCAATTGACTAGCATGACAACCCTAGAATTGTGTATTTGCTGTGTCTCACTTATTTGTAAAATAAGTGAGACCATATTACACTGTACTGAATTTTGAAGTTTTGGGCAATGCATGTAGGCAACTTAATCTGCTTGCGTGTTATTTGGGGGCAGAAAGTAGGGAAACTCTTTGACCCATAGGGTATTCATTACAGCTGCAATCTGGTAGTTGCAGCTGCCACCTTGTGACCTCTAGAAAGGAAAGGTATTTTGAATTGAATAGTGGGTACAGTTTACAGTGCTGGAATATTAGGTACTTTCCAATGCATATATCAGACAACGACAACAAAGAAACAATCAATGTAAGGTTGAAACACCTTCACCATGTAGCCCTCCCTTAAGACACCCACTCCCTCCTGTGTGTACCTTTTACACACAATTCACAAACACACAGAGGAAAGGGTTATAGGAAAGGTTAGCCAATCTCAAGTTACAGAAGAAAGAAGAAAAGGAAAGCCAACTATAGAAGGAAAGGAAAGGCAATCACAGGATAAAAGCTCTCAAGTTTTTACCCCTGCTCAACTTCCTTGGCTCCTGGTCCCATAAACTTGCTCTGAGTAACGTGAATCCGGATAAGAATATTTATAACAGAGGATGGTCATCTTCAGTTTTTTATTTGCATTCTAACCAACTTATTATCTTAGATGTGCTTTTTTTGCCCAAATATCTTACCAGATACTAAAAACAACCACATTTTTCAGCTGATGTAACACATAAGAAACTCTGAGCTCACTTTTACTAAACTTTCTTAGATAAAATTGAATAATCTCAGAGACACATAAACAACTTTATACTGAAACCTTGCTTGCTAACAAAATGCAATCTAACAATCAGAATATGTACATAAACAACTTTGGATTTTTGTTTATGTAAATGTTTTCCTAAAGAATAGATTTTATGTATTTTGTTGTGTTTTGGGTCTGTTACCCAGCTTTGAAATTGCAGCCTTGGAGTACTGACTAAACCAGTACTGCTACAAAAAAATTAACCAATCCTGCAAAGACAATGGCAGTTAGTGAAATGGCATTTAACTTTTTCAACTTTGCAGAGACTTTACTACCAAAATAATAATGAGCCGAGGGGAAGAAGGAGTGCTTCATTCCCCTCTATGGAGGTACCTTCTCACTAAGCAAGAGTGACAATTTTTACTATTGTCTCACAGCCACTGCTTCTCTGGTTTAGCTTCCCTTGCAAGTTCCCAATTTCTGTTGCTATGGTGGAGCACTTGCACAGAGGAGAATACTGATGACTGATAGATGGGATGAGAGAAGCGGTAGATACTTATGAAGACATCTGAAGCTATTATTTGCTGTCCACCAACCTGAGAACTCCAGCTGTTACTGGAAATGCACTCTCCCATTCTCTTCAGTGCAATTATGTCATGAACTAGGATGACTTCACTGTCTTGGAAGAGAGGCGCTGGACTGTTTGATGGCAGCACTTCTACGTAGATTCTGACAAGCAGAGGTGCCCTATGACTCCCCCACCCCCCACCCCCTTCCAGCTCTGGTTTCCCACAGCAGGACTTTGAAAGTGTCTGGTCCCAGGAACAAAGGGAGAGGGGCAAAGACGTAAAAGGAAAAGAGCGGCAACCACAGAGCGCAGTGTGTTAGTCGCCAGCATGGCCATGGCTCAAAAGTAGGAAAGCCGGGGAAGCGCGTACCTTCAGCTTGGACTGAATCTCGCGAGATTTCCGTCTGGCTAGAACCTGCAAGTGGCTAGAGACCTGCAGAGAGAAAAGCAGAAGGAGAGGGGAAAAACAGCAGAGCCGTCAACCAGAGGAAAGGAAAGGAAGGAGAGGGGGCTGCCCATGCTCACACACCACGGATGCATGGGCAGGCGCTCCAACGTACCTTAATGCCAACCTGGTACTCTCGCACCTTCTTCCGAGCTAGAACCTGTATATGGCTGGACACCTACGCCCCGCCAAGCCATTCAAAAAGGAAAACACAAACAGAATGAAGACATGAACCCACACTGCTCTGCATGATAACAGTGCTTCCCAGGTGACATATACTGGCCACCAAAGCCAGCTGAGGCTCCAGGAACAGTTATAACTCTGAAAACAAATGGTATTCTGTGCTGATAGATCAAATGGAAGAAAACTGCTATGGTTAAAGTGAATGAGGCAGATCTAATCTTAGTATGTAACATTTGGGGCCATTATCCCTGAGAAACAGCATTACCATCTTACAGAAACTTCCAAGACCCTTTTGAGGCCCTGCTCGTGCTCCCACCTCCTTCGCAGGTGCGATTGGTGGGGACGAGGGAGAGGTCCTTTTCAGTGGTGGCCCCCTGACTCTGGAACTCACTTCCCAAGAACATCAGACATGCCCCAATGCTGGCAGTCTTTAGGAGGAGCCTGAAAACATGGTTGTTCCAGTGTGCCTTCCCAGAAAAGGAAAACTCTTAGCAATATGTCCTCAAATGCACTTTAACATTGATTTAGGATCGCCTGCGTGCCCTCATATTTTTTTTAAAACCCTATTCTAGTTATATCCTACCTTGTTCATGCCCAGCATTATTTTTTAAATTTTAAATTATTACATTTGGCGTGGCCATAGGTTTTTAAATGCTTGTATATTATTGTTTATTTTTGTTTTGAGATTTATTTTACTGTTTTGTATTTATTATTTTGTTACTGCCTTCATTTTGTTGATGTACTGCGGGCTTGGCCTCATGTAAGCCGCACGGAGTCCCTTGGACTTCCAATATAAAATGTTGCAGCTTAAGGACAATATCATTCTCCACAAATATACAAATCCAGATGTGTTTATTAATTCTCCTAGTTAGATAATTGTCTAGCTAGGAGAACTAGGAGTTGAATTGGTGCCCTTCATACAACCCAGACAGCAAATGTCGAAAATTGTTTCCATCTAGGCTCCGAATAGTCTTTGTAATTGCCCTCTAGGTTCTCACATGTCGATATTGGAACCTAGAAAAATATTTCAGGTCTTTGCAAAACTGCCTTCAGAGGTAAAGGCAGGGATAAATACTGCAGTAGGGTCATAACCCCCATCAGTATTTCACATGTCTATTCCTACCACAAAACCGTAACCATATTTACTGCAACCACACGAGTTATGAAACACTGCGGAATCCAGTTTTGAACAGAGAAGCCTGAAACTTCCTCAGACAGAACTCTTTATCATAAATCCCTCTAGCTCCAGGCACTGTGATATTTACACAGGTGCTTTCTACCATTAACCACTAAGAACAAATATATGGTGGGCTCATTGCATTTAAAGCCCTGACCCAGTTCTGCAGAGCAAAAATGGTCTATTAGCTAGACTATGGCTTTGAAAAATCAATTACTATTTTGAATAGAAACACTGTTCATACAGAAGTTGGTTTAAAACCACCTCCTGAAAAAAAGCTATACATGAAACTTAAAGTACTGTATTATCAAAATACAATTTAAATCTTTTAACTGCTCTTTTCAAATTTGTGAGGAGACCAGAGACTTGCACCAACTTTGGTCTATGATAGAGACAGCCAATGAAGACTCTCCTCCTTGGTTAGTAAGCAGGCATCTACTCTAATTCATTATTTTGACCCCTCGTGTGGACTTAGTCCATGCATTTATAATGATGAGAATTGCTAATGAGGTATGTTCTGACAGAAAGTTGTGGGGGATGCAAAACTTAAGAGGGGCATAGAGGCAAAAACATACATGTAAAGCTTCTCAAAAACTGAATCTGCAAAATACTCTCACTCAACTCAGTATGGGTGCTTACACAGACACGGCCTTACTAACACAGACACGGCCTTACTGTTCAAAACTTCTTTTTGCCAAGGAAAGAAACAATCCAGAGTCAAAGAAGGGGAGCTGATGAGATCTTGCTAAACAAATGTTTTGCTTGTCCTGGCATATTACAACTTTCATTAAAATATCATGCAATTCAAGATAATTGAAATTCTACAGTTCCCCACCATAGAACCCTGAAGTTCCCTTTCATATTCAGGTGGAGCAGGATTGACCATATGTTCCATACCTCTTTGAGAGAGAAAGTGCAGATTAGCTTTTTGTTTGATCTCCTGCCAACTGTTGCACATATTCCTAAGTCACTAAAAATGTATACAGAACGTGGAGACTGAATAGCAGGAGTGTGTTGAATGTACAAGAGGAAAACACACCATTACTACCTGGAAGTCTGCTTGCCATAGATTGTGTCCCCCCCCCCCCAAGGTTTCAATTAAACTAATGGACCCAATCTTCATGGCCAAGAAAGAGAATTGCATAATTGATAAATCAATTAAAACATCCATTCACCCTTCACCCATGATTTTATTTTCCATGCTTTCAGTTTTTCACTAAGACTGAATAAGAAGCAGCATAGGAACTGCTGCACAAAAATATACTAAAAAAATACCCAACCCAAGATGAAACAAAGTGTTCATCTAAATATCAGTCTTTTGTGCATCAGCTTCCAGCATTCACAGAAGGAGAAGCTACAGCCTTCAATATAGCTCATCATTCATTACTGCTTTACATTTCATTTTTTTCCTGACATAAAATCTTAAAATGGAAACCTCATGTTGTTTTCTACCTGGCTGTTGTCCCACCTCTTTTACAGTAAGGGCCTTTCTCTTTTTATTGGTGCATGTGAATTTAAATCAATGGAGCCACATACATTTCATCTGCTGACAGGAACAAAACACCGTTCTGTTCATGATCTGGTATCTGTCTAATCTAGTGTTTTCCAGACTCTGGTCTTCCAGGTGTTTTGGATTCCAGTTCTCAGAATCCTTGTTTATTGGCCAAAGGAGCTGAAGTTTTGGAAAGTCCAAACATCTGGAGGACATCTAATCGGATCCTTTCCTTTTGGGCACATGGTATCCAAATTAATTAATGAGGAAGACTAAAAGCTGTTTGAGTTTAACAATTATTAAGGATTTAACACATGTACTACAATACTAAAAGAGAAAGAAATCAATTCCACAACAGAGAAGGACAAAAGGAAATGTAATCATGGCATTAGTGCTCATGGAAGACACATGTCCTTAGCCTTTCTATATTCAAGCAGCATCTACTGCAGAGAAGAGATAAGGATGAAGCAATCACTACTGAATGGTTTCCCCCATTGGCCATTCCGCTTTTGAAATCTATACCTGGACCAGACACACCCTTAACAAGCACATTGGTATGATATTAACAGGTCCTAGTTTCTGGATAGGGGCTTATATAGGGTGAATGATGATAAATAAATCAGCAGGTTTACTGTGGGAAACAATGCAAATCTGCACGACCCCTGAATTCCATCTAACTTATGAAAGATGATTTTTAAATGTGTGACATTTCACAATGCTTGTAATGCAGCAAAGAATTTGGGAAGGATAGTTTTGACTAGAGCCGGTCTGAGTCCCTCTGCGGAGGTAGAGAAGATTGGGATATAATTTTTTAAAATAAATAAATAAATAGAGGCTCCATGGCTTTGTGCAGTGGCCTCCAACCAAAGTTTCAAAAATATAAATATCAAATAAAAGATGAAATTATCATAACAATGTTTCATCTTTGTATGGAACCATCATATCAAAGAAAGTAAAACTTTCTCCAATGACTGCACCAGAAAAAGAACTTCAAAGCCATAGGTTGTAACCTACTGTGCCCCAGCCCACTTCAAGAGCGAACCAATTTATAATAATGGAACATGCAGACACACATAAGCAAGCATGCATTTGCATGCATTCACACATATGCTTTCAGTGGGACCATTTTCTTATTTTTCAGTATCACATTTTTAATAAAGAGGAGGAGCATCAAACACATTTTACCTGCTTTCTTGTTCGTGTTTTCCCTGTTCGCAGCTTGATGTACCTTGCTATTAATTCATTGCGACCTAAAACACATAAAGAAAAGAAAAAAAAACATGAAGAATGTTAAGAGATTTGCCCCACATTTGGTAGCGTATCTAAGGCCAATCTCTGGGTGGTTAGAATTACCCCTTTGCATCCTCAATGTGGAAAACAGTCACAGCATTACTCCAGTATCCATGACATTTCACCAGGAGGTGGCACTAGTGCAACAGTTGTTGAAGTGAAGAGGCCAAGCCAGCCCCAACAGGCTGTGTCAGGGCCCTTGTAGTTTATGCATTTAACAACATATATTGGATGTGGCAGACTGGCATTTTTAACTCATGTGCCAAATCATTGATTCATTAGCATAGTCACTGAAAACTCACTGTTCATACAGTGTACCAGCAGCCAATGGGTTCCAGACGGACACTGTCTCATGTGAGCCCCCGGTGTCGCAATGGGTTAAACGCTTGTGTCAGGAGTGGTCAACCGACAGGTTGGTGGTTTGAATTCGAGGATCAGGGTAAGGTCCTGTCTGTCAAGCTCTAGCTTCTTATGCGGGGGCATGAGAGAAGCCTTCCACAGGCTGGTAAAACATGAATCATCCAGGTGTCCCCTGGGCAACATCCTTGGATATGGCCAATTCTTTCACATCAGAAGCGACTTGCAGTTTCTCATTTCGCTTCTGACATGAATTGGCCCATGGACCACCAATTTCAGTAACAATCTAGAAAAATCAGCACTGATGGCAAAAGAACATGGAACTGAACCAAACTAGAGATGCACTGAAATCTAACATGGAAGTGGTGACTCTGTCTGTCTATCCCTTGTTGGTGACCGATGAAGGCCAAGCTGGCAATTTAGAATGCTCCCTGACCAGACTTACAGCACTCCATCAAAGTTCTTCCAAATGACCAAATTATTGCATTGTTCCTGATTGTTCAATGATCATTTGTCTTCCCAATGCATCTCCCAAGCACATGCATGAATTTGTATGTTTATGTAAAGAAACTTTTCAAAACAAAGACATGGAACTTTTCTCAAAGAGTTTGATTTTGCAACACTGGCCGTGCAACTTCTCAGGATATTTTAAGGAGCTCTGGCTTTTTAAAACAGCACTTCCCAACGTCCTCAAGCTAATTTGAAGCAGAAGAGCTTTTGTTCCACATTTTACAGGCCAGCTGTGGCCAATCTAAACTCCAACGTCAAAGCAGCTGGGAGCTCTCTTTTCCCTCATCCCCTCCCCTCCTAACTGATGAAGCCGGAGAGGGGAGATGGGGCGGAGACGCAGGCCAGACTTATTTTAACAGACCAGATGGTGGTGGCTGAAGCTAGCTGAAATGCCCTTGCAGCCAACTTGAATGATCTCTGTTTAAAAAGAAAGGAAAAGAGTGGAAAGCTAAAACAACTTAGTTGATCTGGTGGCAATGCTGATGGCTGGTATTCTTTTCAAGGCAGGATGTCAGGTCGGAGAACAGCTCTCTCTCTCTGCAAATGAAGATGTACCACAATCCCCAATCCCAGGCCCCCCTCCCACTCTTATGCCCTTAACAGACAAGGCCAGGTGCTTTATACTAGGGTCAAAAATATCATGCGAGAGGGAAAAAGAAAGATGTTACTATATAGTGGAGTAACAATACCCTCAGCATGAAAGCCAACTGACTTACAGCATGTTTTTCATATGAACAGTTCCTGACACAAAGGAAAAAAATAGGGCCCAAGAGATTTATTCTCTCAAACTGGTGTCTGTGTAAAGAATACCTCCATAAACCGCTTTAGCGTATATTCCCTTTGGAACCTTTCACTGGCTGAGTAAAGCCTTCTGTTTTGTAAAGACAAGCAGCTGCATTTGGGGCAGATTGTTCACTTGCTCTAAGCCTCCTTTCTGCAATCTAGCACTCTTCAGATATTTTGGAATACAACACCAAACAATCCTATGCAACATGAACTATAGCATTAAATGCAACTCTCAAATATTTAATTTAGAGTTTTAGCATTCACACTCTCCCTGCTACCTGCAAATAAATTGACAGTTCAGGGAAAGATAGAAAAAGTTCAAAGAATCCCCTATGAAAGCATGAAGGAACACCTGGGCATCTTGACTGACAGTACAATTCCACATAATCCTCATTCCCTATATGCTATACATTTTGGACCTTTTTTTAAAAAAAATCTTTGGGTCGGAGTGGGTTTATATGTGAAGGTAGTGGTGGGTTTTTTAAAACAGGCAGCATGGCAATTCTGCAATTCTGTGCCCTCAGGTAGACTCCAGTTTATACTAATCCCATGGAGCAATTGCTGTCCGACCTTTGGTTCTCCAGGTGTTTTGGACTTCAGCTTCCAGGATTCCTGACCATTGGACATGCTGCCCAGAGATTCCAGGAGTTTGAGGGAATGTGACTTGCTCACCTTTGGGGTTCCATGGCTGAGTAGCAATTAGAAATCTGACATTTTGGAGTGCTGATGAGGTGTATAGTTTGAGTAAAAGTCTGCAAACCAGAATTCGAATCCCTGTTCAGCCATGGAAACCCACTGGGTTACCTTGGGCAAGTCAGCCTTAGAGAATGGCAACAGCAAGAAAAAAACATCTTGCCAAGAAATCCCCATGATAAGAGTCACATTAGGGTTGCCACAGGTTGTAAACAGTTTGAAGGCACATGACAGCAATCCAGGAGTTATAGCCCAATACTCAAACCACTATGTCACATTATTAGACTATTCTTTGTGTATGGATGTAACACAAAGCAGTTTAAAAGGATGAGATCTACTGCTTGCATGTGTGCTACCATACACATGCAGACCCTGAATCCATACAAAGTTGTGCCTTTAGACCACTGTACCACCACAAACAGCAATGCACTATGCGGGGCCAGGTAAGCAATTTCAGTCTACTTCTATGTTATTTCCACATATATACACTGCCCTTCTGCTTTTTTCCAGGCATTTCTATAACACCTTGATACTTGCAATAGAGGCAGGCCACCCATGACCTCTGAAACCATCCTGAAACAGCTATGCAAATAACTTGGTGATGCAGCTCATTTTGCTAAGAGGTATCCAGCTAGTCTTTTCCTTAGTGTGTCTCCTTGTATTTCATATCCATGTTTGTTAGCTGGTATCTGAAATTAAAATCAAATAAACAAACACTTAACCAGAAAACTAGGAGCAATTGTTCATGACCGGCTCTCCTGAACATGGGATCTGACATCACACTAAATCAAAGGGGATTCTTCTTTTCAGAGGCAGAAGTGCTTTAATTGACTCAGGATGTCCAGTTCCTGGCTGTGTGAATCACTGTTTCCACGGATGCAAAGCCTCATGCTCACTGCCTCAGAGAAAAAAACTTAACTTTTGAAAACGATCTTCCTATTGACTTTTGTAGAGAGCCATGTGTAGTGTGAATGCCATACACCAGGGTTCAAATTCCTGGTCTGTCATGGAAAGGAAACCCACTGGATGGCCTTTGGTAAGTCTCACTCTCTCAACTTCTGAACAAGTCTTGTCAACTGCTCTCCCATGATAGAACCCATCATGGGAGAGCAGTTGACAAGACTTGTTCAGAGGTTGAGAGAGTGAGACTTACCAAAGGTTCCCCATCCTACCATCTTAGGTTCCCCATACTTGAGGGCACGCAAAAACAGCAAAAACAACAACAACAACAACAACAACAACAACAACGATGGACTTTCGTGACTACATATTTCCATTTGGGAAACACCACCTTGTATTTTATTCCATTCAGCATATTAAAGTCAAGTGATAAGACCAAATTTGTAAGCCATCTTGAGATGGAAAACAATACATAAATAAAGAACATGAAGATGACACTCCATTTTTGTGTATGTGCTGTTTTTCGATCTTCTTCCATATGGTTGAATTTGTATTCAGTCTTCCTTTACTATTTCAGAGACAAGTGGTGAACACTGTGGCTTGAAAGAAATAGAGTGAAAGTGTCCAAGAAGCAAAGTCTGCCTTGGTTCTTTGATGGAGGAGCTATTCTCTTGATTTCCTCCACTGATCTTAATTACTTCATCACAGAACTATTCATTTTCCTTTCATCTCTGCGGCAGGGTGAGAAGAAGGCAGCATCTCTTCCTGCATAACTTGTCTGGGGCTGGACTTCCTGGCACACAACTTGATTTAACTGTTGCAAGCCTATGTAGTGAACTATAAAGCTGTCACAAGCACATCTGAGATGCAAAGGTTGTTCACGACAGATGTGAATTCCAAATATGCTCATGGATAAGTCTACCCCACAGATAAATCGAGGGCATGTTTTGGGGACAAAATTATGTATTTTGATATGAACTATGACTAAGTCAGGAGTCATTCCATGGAAAGGGGAGAGAACTAATGTCGCTTCAGGGTCTGCTGTGCCTAGCTGACACTGCCATTTCTCACCCTGGGATTTAAAAAGGCCAGAAGTAGCACCATGGCAGAGAGTAGACTGCGCTTCTTTTATGTTCCTACAGGATGGACTAAGCTCTTGCTGTTTCCCACTCTACTCAAAGGAGGGGATGGTTCCTTTCTGGGTAAAGAATAAGATCCAGTGCTCACATTGACCTGTGGATTTCTGGGTTGATAATTTGACTAAACTTTCTAGACTTATATACATGAATATATAGGGTAATTCTCAAATGGAAGATGATAAAGAAGGAGACCAGATAATCACTGATAGTGACACTGGGTATTTGTCAGGTATGCAAAGAAATGTTTCACCTTTTTAGATTGTTATAGTTGATAGATTTATAAGCAAGTAATAACACATTGATGGGTTTTTAAATTTGTCAACAATCAATTACTTTAAAATTATTTGACTAGTAGTTGTATGAATTTTTAGGCTCATGGCCTTATGTATGCCAACCAATTTCCTTGTCACTATGTAGGTATGCAACTGTAAAGGTAAAGGCTTCCTGAGACCTTAACTCTAGTCGTGTCCAACTCTGGGGGGTGGTGCTCATCTCCATTTCTAAGTTGAAGAGCTGGCGTTGTCCGTAGACACCTCCAAGGTCATGTGCCTGTCATTACTGCATGGAGTGCCATT